CATAATTAATAATCTTGTTCTACATTTAAATACCAATAGCAAAAATAGAAAATAAAGACTAAACTAATATAGATAATAATGAAATTTGCCAAGAAAATGGCGTGATAAATATATCCAAATAAAGATAACAATAAGATAAATATAAAAAGATAGATAATATGAGAAGAAAAAGAAGAAAATAAAAAGAAATAGAAGGAAGTAGAATTTTATTGAACCAATTACATAGTCTAAATATCATTATGATTAATTTTTATCATGCAACATCTTTTATTCACGTGTTCTTTTAAAATTATAGTCAATATTGAATCAGTGACAATATCATCACCAATTTTAATTTATCCTGACTTTGAAAAATCATTTCTCTTATATACTGATGTCTCTAGTTTTGAATTAGGTACCATACTTGTACAAAAAGGAACAAATGATAAAGAACATGTAGTAGCTTATGCTAGTAAAAGAACCAGCACACATGAACGAAATTATTGTGCCACTGAATTAGAATGCTTAGGCGTAATCTGGGCAGTTCAATACTTTAGATCATATCTATAATCAACCATTTTATTTACTATTATCACTGATCATAGTGCCTTAAAAATATTATTCAACAAACCAAATCTTTCTGGAGGTCCGTTAAAGCCATGTAATTATACATAATTTTTAATCTGATCCAGATTGCAACCATGTGATCAAATTGAATAGCCAATAAAAATACTATATAGTATTAGCTCTCCAGCAACAATGTGATTAACATTCTTTAAATAAATCACATTAAAAGTACTAATCAAATAAACTGCCCAATTAAAGATTTTATTTGATTGTTGTTAACATTGTTAAAATTGATTTTCAAGAGTACTTCCATCCAAAGACCCCCATTTCATTAAATATTCACCAAAGAACTCACTAGATCCGGTCGCGACGAAATCAACACGGAGAAACTGAACACCCGGGAACCTTACTAACCCTAATTAACACTGGCGATCACAGAAAAATAAGCCAACTTTGGATGCTTATATTTCTCCCAATATCCAACCAAATTTTGTGGTCTGAATATAAAGAATGTTCGTCTTGATTAGACGAATCAAACAAACCTGAGTTCGCAAAATTCTGAAGATCGGTAAGATATCGTTGCCTCACGATCCGTTCATCATTTTGCGATTTTTCATGCGCTGACTATGGATACAATATTTCCACCAATATTGTCCCGATTTTGTTGAGCTAAACAAAAATATTCACCAGAAATGTGGGCAATACAGACCGGTGCGAGACCAAACCGGAAATTTGCGACGAAATGAAAAAACTAGACACCCAACAATGAAAGAACACTAAATACTCACATTCAGGAAACTTGGTACGAAACAAAACTGGAAACCGGTCGCGTAAGCTGTTAGTTGTTATGAGTGAGTTTGGCCGCCATTTTCGTTTCGCTGGTGTTGCGAATTTCTCCGGATTGCGATCAGATTCCAATTTTATTTCATGGTGGTAGTGTTTTTAGTGAGTATTTGGCGCTAGTTTTCGTTGGTGCGAGTCCCAGCCAGAATTTTGCTGGGTCAAACCACAAAACAAAAGACATTTGTTTTTGTTTTGATAGTGATGGTGTTATGCAGAATCCAACCAATCATTGAATGCGTTACAGATATAGGTCATGTGCATTAAGTCAATCCAGATAATTATGATTATCCGAGTTGACTTAAGCCTTAATTCACTACACGGCTTTAACGGTCCCCCAAAAATGGAGAACGGTTAAAACGTGTCCATCACGTGATATATCTTAAAAATATTAAAAGGTAATTTCAACGTTAGGATTAGGGTTGGGTTTGGGAAGGGGATCAAGGTTATATTTAAAATTGCCTTCCCGACATTTTTAATTAATGCTCTAAGAAAGATTTAAGCACCTGTTTTTCATTTATTGTCTTTGCTTCAAATTTGTTTTGCCGGGTTGATCAATCAGAACTTCGGGAAAATTAGTAAACGCGTTGGCAACGTTGTTAAAATTGTTATATTTACATAACGATAATAATGTAAAAAATTTGCGTTATTCCAACAAGTCAAGTTCATAACGATTACGATATTTTTTATAAACTACATAAACATGGTCGCATTTTGTGCGTGGAAATTTTATCTGACAAAACAAAAAAAAAGAATTCGCGAAAGGGAAGAAACTCTTCTGTTGCAAAAGGGAGATTTTAATAAAGACAATTCAAATTTTACACGATAATGGGGTAGAATGTGAACATACAGGGTAAATTATCTTACTGAGTTTGTCGAATCGTTGTGTTATCTGAAGTTACGCTGCTACATTTGAATGAAATTTGAGAATTGAAAATTCTTCGTGGCCACGGTTTCATTTGGGTGTTCCCTAGATATCATGCACTGGTAGGGGAATTTATGGTGAATAGAATAGAATACACGAATCAATGAATAGAAAGCTCTTCCTGGCCATGGTTATTTATAACCATGAATGTTCTTCCTGGTTCCTGGCGAATGACTCAATACTCACAACTTATCTTTACTATTTTTATCTTTACTATTTCAGTGGACCGGGCGACAAAGGGAGGGATGGACACGGACGTATGTTGAATATCCCATAAGTATGTTTTAACTAGATTTAATATTCAATATGTTTAACACATTAATTGAGGTTGAACAATTACAGGTCGTCCGGTCGTATACGAACTAGAGAGGGTGCTCTCCTGACAACCGAGCAGGACTTTTGGTGTCGTGGTGGGCCCTTCGAAAACTCAATTCGCGCCTGGTGCGTTAGAAGCAGCTAGAGATTCAAAATACGATATCATCCTCACAGATAGTACAAATTTAATTCTAGATTTATTATAAGTCGTTGGTCGATTAAGATTCGAACTTTATTGTAAATTTTTTTTATTTTTATTATATTTTCATTCTTTTAGTTTCTTGTATATATCTTTTATTTTCTTGTATATATCTTTTATTTTCGTGTATATATCTTTTATTTTCTTGTATATATTTTTTAATTCATCTTATCCGTGAGGATGATATCGTATTTTGATACTTTAATTTTAATTTAGATTATAATTTTTTCTATATATTTTTATTTTCTCGTATCAATAAAGCTGACCTGGTGGTCGATTTTTTCCATACACGATAGCGTTTACTTTATTGCATATATTTCGGAATTATTGCATTGTACGGACGTCGATATCCACATATGATCGAGAATTCCCACAAAAATATCTTTCTCTTCATCGCTCAAATCCTAACAGGAAATGAATCGCTATTTTACATAGTATAATCTTGGTCGTGCCAGCTTCGCTGATGAAATCATATAGTGTAGGACATTTAAACGCATCACAATAAAAAATAATAGCTAAAATAAAATAATTTATATTTATTAAACCTTTTCATAATTAGCATATCAAAGAATGAAAATTCATTTTTTTTATTTATGTATATACAAAATCCGAAACTTCGGATTCGGTCCGATCGGAACATTATTTATTGTGACAGATTAAAACGAAACCAGATTAAAATGAAATCAGATTATAATAAAATCACGATCAAATCAAAATAAAATTTGGATCTTTTTTTATGGGATAAAAATTTCAGAGAAGGGTTAAGGTTAGGTTAGAGCATAGAGTATAGAATATAGAGTATAGCATTAAAATCTACAATATATTGAATTATGATTATTTAAACATCCCAATCTGTTTCGTTTTAATCTGGTTTCATTTTAATCCGCCACATTTATTGAAAAGTTAATATATATATATATATATATATATATATATATACTGTTGATTCAATAAATGAATTAAGTTCGAGATTGTTCAAATACAATATTAAAAAAGTCTTATTAGCGTTAGCGTTAGATTTTCAATAAATACATACTAGAAAAAGACCGGGGAAAAAGCAGGAAGGAAGTGTTGCCGTAGTGTTGGGACTTTTTATTCTAATCTCTTATCATTTATCTCGGTAATTTCAATATAGCATAAGAAACCTATTAAATAAATGTAATATGCACATGCAATCAACAAGTATTATCGTTATATATTTGCATACATGATGGATCGTCGGAACACTCAATTTTTTTTAGATTCTGCGCTTACCATCGATTCTTTGAATCATACCATTTGAACCCTCACCGACATTTTTATGGAAAAAGTCACTTGCGTGTTCGTGGTCTTTGAAATGAATGTGAGCTCCATCTAATAACCCTCTTCCATCCTTTAACAACAATCCATCACTCATAGATTAATGAGATGGAAAGTAAACTTCCGTTCGCCACAAACATTATGCGTTTCTTTCTTTCATGTGTCCTTTCCAATAAATTCCGAGTTTTCTTTCCTCCTAGTTCATAATACAGTGACTCTTTATAGCGTATCAAAAATCGATTATTAGTAAAAATTTTCAAAATCCACTATATCGAGAGTTTATTAAGAAATCTACTATATCGAACAGAGTTTATTTCAATATATCGAGATTTTAAGAGCATCTTTGAAGAAAGCTTTCTTGGCTTGCGGAATTTTTCTATTAACCAATGAATGGTAACGCTTCCATACAGACACACGTGAGTAAGACTCTTGTATTTTCGCGCGTATATGGATCATGCTATAAGCCTGAAACAATGACATTTCGCAAATTTGCCTAGTGAGTCGAAACAGGAAATCAATGAATTAATATAAAATAGAATAAACTTGGCATCTAAAAAATATAGTGCATCATAGTACATAATGAAAAATTCTAAGAAATTATAATATCGTACACATCAACATAATATCTCCGTAGAGTGAAAAGACAATCTAACTACACTGAATATAACTTTTTCCTTCCCATCGCCCTATATCTCCTGCTTCCCTTATTTAATATATACTTTTTTCTTGTGAAAAATAAAAACTATATACTTGCAGATACACAAAAAACAAAAATATTTCCTATCTTTCTTCGAACTATCGATTGAAAGTGAAAAAGTCTCTAGTAGACATAATAATAATAATAATAATAATAATAATCATCAAAATCTAAAGATTCACCTACATATGGACATTGGCGGCATCGATTACAATAGTTTGCCTGAACACGTTCAAGTACGATTACGTGAACTAGAACACGAATTTGCCGAGGGTGATATAACGCGGCAAGGGTTCGAAAAGAAAAAACATGCTCTGCTGGCAGAATTCACAGAACCACCAATATCTCATCATGTTGCTGCTGGTGGTGGTCTACCACCAATAATAAATAGTAGTATGGAAAGAAACATCAATATCAACAATAACCATAACTACATGCATAATATTGATGATAATAACACGCCGCGAATCTCTGCTGCTCCGATAATTGTTGAACAAGTGTCGTCGTCTCCGATAGCAGGACCACCTGATCGACAGTTGCAACAATTTCAACAACAATCGTCTTATAGTGCAAATCCATACTCGAATCAAAATTCACACATAATGCATCAAAGTCATTCGCTTCTTGTTAGTACCTCTCCTTCAGCACATTATCACGCGTCGCCACCAAGAGTTTCACCTGTCGATCTTACAGAAAGAGTAAGAAGCGCTGCCGGTGGTGGCGGAGGTGTTATGCGTGGTCAAAATGGTGATATATATCATAATATTCGTGATTCGCAGGGACCACCCCCTGCAATCCCACCTCAACATCCAGGGCGTGGTATGCGTGCTTCACAACAGGTTCATCACCAACATCATTCTCTACCCATACATACCCAAGTTCCACAACAACCAATTTATCATCGGTCCCCGTCATCTCAATCAGTTATTATAAATCAACAACAATTATTGCCACAACAACAACAATTATTGCCACAACAACAACAATTATTGCCACAACAACAACAACACCAACAGCAACAGCAACAGCAACAAAATTATCCATTACCATCATCTCAAATAAATTATGGTTCACCTCCTGCATTTAGACCTAATTCTTCTCAACCACAGCCCACTCCTCCTATTCAATCATATCATCCTTCACCTCAACCATATTATGGACCGCCCCCTCCAGTTGTGCCTCGACCATTCCGTCCTCCTGCACCAGTTAATGTTAGACCCCCTGTTCAAAGACCGCTTCCTCCCCCGTCTCAAAATGACATTTATAGTCCCCGTGGATCTGTTGATTACCCACTAAGAAATAGAGTCACTGAGCATGTTAGAAGTCAACTTGCATACGATGAAAATTTGTCACGAGGTAGTTTGGAAATCAGGTCAAGTCTTGATATTGCATCAGATGCCATAAGTATAAAAAGTTCACGATCAAATACTGATGTTCGAAGTTCATACGAAAATGAATTAATTTGTGAGTAATATAATAACAATAATATAATCTTTATAAAGTTTATTAATTATTACTTAAAAGATGAACTTATGCAAAAATTCGGTGAATTTTTTGTAGTGGCTAGATTTCAAGAAGATAATGTGTCAATTCGATCAAATCGATCATCTTCGATTCCAGTGACAAATGTCGCATTTAAATACGGATTAATGAATGGGCAAAATGAAAAACTTGGAAGAAGTTTGTAATCGATTTATGCTTTTATTCAAGTTTTACAATTTTTTATATTCTACTGACATTATATTTAATGATTGCAATAATACGATGGAATAAAAAAAAGGTTTAAGTCGTTCTTCACATAACAATCATGCTTCACGAGTAATTGCTACTGCTCCACCGCAATCGTCCGATGCTCCGAATTTTGATCCCGAGCTTTCAAAATTTGCCGGAAAACAATTCATGCCATTCGAACCTCGTGATATACCTTTTCACATAGTAGATCCGTTGAACCCAACTCAAATGATGACCACATTTCCAGATATTGCATTTGTGTTTCGACATCGTGGAATTTCTACGCCAAAGCGATTAGCATTCGTCGTGTTAGATCCAAAAGGAAAAGAAGTTCATGCTTGGACATGGGAAAAATTACATTCTCGTGCAGAAAAGGTTGCACAAATGATTACTAAACATCGACCTATCTCTAAAGGTGATCGAGTAGCACTTATTTATCGAAAATCTGAAATTTTGGATTTTCTTGCTGCTTTTTACGGATGTTTCCTGGCGGGCGTCGTGGCTGTTCCGATTAATGCCGCTGAAGAATTCATGGAATTGTGTTTTATTCTGGAAAGTACGAATTCAAGATTGGCATTGACGACTGAGCATAATCTTAAAGTATTCACTAGAGATCTTGCAGCCCAACGTAAAGAGCTTCCGGCTAATGTTGAATGGTGGAAAACGAATGAACTTGGCGGCTATCATCCAAAGAAAAAAGATGACTATCCACCAATTCAGACAACAGATTTAGCGTATATAGAATACACGAAAGCTCCTAACGGTGAATTGAAAGGTGTGATGGTCAGTCATCGGACAATCATGGCACAGTGTGGAGTCATGCGTGGATCAATCACCGAAAAACATTCTCAAATCAATCTCGATAATGCTGATCTAAATTCATTACTTGAAAGTCAACATTCCGATACACTATTGACACATTTAGATCCTCGACAACAAGTTGGACTTATATTAGGCGCCCTGTTTGGAGTATTTTGTGGAAATACCACCGTATATTTGGGTAGTCTTGGCATAGATGTACCAGGACTTTGGGTGAACTGTATCTCCAAATATCAAGGTGAACCAGTGAAAATATTCTCAAGTTGATATAACGTTGAAGAAATTTTTTAACTGAACTGGTATACAAAATATTACTCTTCTCTATTTAACAGTTACAATTGCTCTAGCGGATCATCCCGGACTACACCCCATCGTTCAATCCTTTAAACGTGATCCGAACGCAACTTTGAATTATGCAAAAAAACAAATGGCTGATCTGTCTTCATTACGACTTCTTTTCATTGACACGTTGGTTGTTGACCCACAACGTAATGATGATATCGCGGAAAATCTTTTAGGACCTCTCGGTGTACGCTTTCCGCATGATGTGATTACACCGATGAGTAGTCTACCCGAACATGGTGGCATGATTTTAAGTTTTGGGGATTTGATAGGTGTTGAGGGATTGGACGATCGGTTGGAAGGTCAAAGACAAGTCAATGAATTTTTGATTGATCGTGAAGCATTGAAATACAATCAAATTGTTGTGGTGGCTGTCGATGAACAAGAAATTAAACAAAGAGATGGGGAAAAAGGTGTATTACGAGTCGGCGCGTTTGGATTTGTGATGCCAGAAGGTATATTTAAACTTATATATACGATAGAATTATTAAGTCTTTTAATATTGATCGACTTCTTTTTTATTCATAATATATGTAGCCACAATTGCTATCGTAGATCCAGAAACAACTGCACTTTGCTTACCAAATACTGTTGGTGAAGTTTGGGTCGACTCTCCTTCATTGAGTGGAGCATTCTGGGGACTAAACACTTACACAAAATCAATATTTCATGCACAACCATTGGTTGTACCTGAAAATACAAGTGTTCCCGAATTATTCGAACAAGAGTTTTTGAGAACTGGATTATTGGGCTGTTTGATAAATGGTCAATTGGTAGTTTTCGGTTTATATGAAGATCGAATACGGCAATTGGCTAAAGAACAACCACCAGAAAATGAAGATTTAAAAGAGGTTTGGGAGTTTCATTATACGACAGATTTGGAAAAGACTGTACTTACTCATATTTTGGGAGTTAATGACTGGTATGTAAATATTAATTAGAAAAATCATCGATTATTTATTAATTTGATTTTTTAATTTTTTTGTGTGAAAATTAGCGCGGCATTTCAGAGCTTTGTTAATGAGGAATTTTTGCCAATACTAGTGACAGAATCAACTCTAGAACCCAGCAAACTAGCTGCTTTAGTAGATCAAATAGTGAACACTTTACTCGATCACCATGGGCTTCGCATCTACTGTACAGTTATATGCCCAGCGGGATCTTTACCACGCACTTGGCGAAACGGCAAAAAATTAGTAAATAATATGCTTTGTCGAAAATTCTATGATCTTGGAAAACTTAACCCTGTATGTGTAAAGACGGCAGTTGAGCACACTGTGTTCAATATTCCAATGGGAGTTGATCCGGTTGGTGGTATATGGGGACTTGGTGAGTAAACTTTTCTTGCATAGTTATGCGTAATTTCATGTTGATTTAAATTTCTCCGTATGATATTTTATCATGAGTTAATATTAACATTACCTTTACTATCATTGTCTATCTGCTTTATCAAACTTCTTAATTTAATAAGAGGCTTTGAAGGATAGACAGATGTTAAATTCTATTGGTCCGGGTTTACGACGTCCACAATATACTGGTATGGAAATTCCACAAAAAGTCTTAGATAATCAAACTGGATTTGATCTTCTGAAATTCCAAAATATTGTGGAAATTCTTATATGGCGTAGTCGAATAACACCCGACGATGTTGCGTACACTTCTCTGGACATTCGTGGTCGGGAAGGAAAACCAACCTCATGGAAAAAATTAAACAATAAAATTGCCACTATTGCAAATTACCTTCAAAAGAAAGGCTGCAAACCTGGCGGCCACACAGTTCTATTATTTCCACACGGATTGGACTATATCGTTACACTTTACGCATGTTTGGTGATCGGAATAACACCAATCCCGCTCGCACCGCCAGACACCAATCGCGCAAAAGAAGACGTGCCAGCATTACTAGCACTCTGCGAGGACTTTAGAATTCCATACATTTTATTAAACAACGATACTGAAGCCCTGCTAAAAAGCCGACACGTTCAAGCACATTTGAAAACTGCTGGCAAGTATGCGGCCAAATTACCTCCTTTTATTAATATAACAAAAGCGCCTAAATTTACAAAAACTCTAAAGGAAGCTAATTATGGAGTGCAGAATCAGTGGATGGATCCGAATTATCCGGCGTTGGTGTTGTGCTATTTCTCTTCGGATATGATGAATCGTTCTTGCGTAAAATTGGGGCATGATAATTTGCTGGCGTTTTGTAAAGTACAAAAAGAAACTTGCCGAATGTCGAGTTCGAAAGCTATTATAAGCTGTGAACAGAGTTCTAATGGAATTGGATTTGTGCAATCGGTGTTACTTGGTGTATATATAGGTAAGTAGTTATTTAATATACCGAATATATTACACTGAATAACAATAACTCCTTAACTCAAGATTCATTCTAATGTATAGGGTCACCAACGATCTTATATTCGCCAGCTGATTATCAAGCAAATCCACTAGTCTGGTTTGATAATCTTGGTCACTTTAAACGTAAGTCCTCATACCATTGCTATTATTTCTCTTTAATCTTGATGATCATTACTCAATATTAATATCGATTATTTTCTCAAAAGTGGAAAATGCATATGCAACTTCCTCAATGTTACAACACGCAGTAGACTTTTTTGAAAATGTAGATTTTCGAAGCTTCAGTCTTGTAAATATGAAGAATCTAATGCTTCCAGTTGAAGGCCGGCCAAATCCTGAAAAATGTAACGTCTAATCATCTTAATACATCAATTTCAATTATGTTCTTCGGATTATTATGCCTTTTTACTGATTTAAACAAAATTTGGGTTTTAAACAACTAAACAATAGTCAAAAAAATTGTGCGCACTTTCCTTCCCAATCGCTTGGAAGAAGTTCACGTCAGCTACGTATACAGTCACGTTGCCAACCCGATGGTGACCACGCGATCTCATATGTTTGTGAAGCCATTTGAATTGACGCTCGATTTGGATAGCTTAAGACGGGGTATCATAAAGATCAACGATTCTGGAGATAATGGTAATAATAATAATAATAATAATAATAATAATAATAATAATCACGTATATGAGTCTAAAAAACAAGAAATTGAAGAGAATATGTATGAAACGAGGATACAAGATGTGGGAATGGTAAGTTTGTTCATCATCAAACTAAAATTTTGTTTTTGTATTTGCTCACCTTTTTATATGTACATCAAATAAAAAGGTACCAATATCAACGCAAGTTGCAATCGTACATCCAGAGACGCGTCGTCCATGCCTAAGCAATGAATTCGGTGAAATATGGGTAGCATCAGACGCGAATGGTAAATCACTATACGGCTCAACAGATCCGCTAGACAGAAATCGGTTCACCGCGACCATTGAAGGCGGTGACCCGCGAATACGATATATCCGCACCGGTGATCTCGGGTTTCTTCATACTCTACAAAAACCAGTCGGTGATAATGGAGCGTTGGTCGAGTTTCAGTGTTTATTCTATTTGGGACCGATCGCTGAGACTTTTGAGGTTAATGGATTGATGTATTTCTATTGTGATATTGAGCATACAATCGAACGGTACTGTAATGATAAGTGGCCTGTGAAATTGGTGTCCGGACCTAGTTGGTAAATATTGTCATCAATTTTTCATTAAATTTTTTTATTTTATTAATTTTTATGCTCATTATTTAATTTTACCCCTAAATCCTATAGCGTTATATTCCATACGAATGGTGAAACTGTGTGTGTAGTTGAAGTGCGAAAAACCGAAGGCATTTTGAATCTTGTCCCCGCGATACTTAAAGTCGTTTTAGAAGTATATCAATTTGTGCTCGATATCATCGTGTTCCTTGCTCCAGAAACATTACCAAGATCGCGGACAGGCGAGAAACAACGATTCCAAGTTTTTGCTGGCTGGGTTAATAAAACATTGTGAGTATTTTTTAGTTAGTTTCTTAATATGTTATAATGAAATGATATACTAAAAATACGTTATTGAATTTTTTGCATATTATTTAACAGACCAACACTTCATGTACACCATGTAAAAGAACCCATTAATCGTAATTCTAGTCTTGGACAATACACCAGTCCTCCAAGCGATCAACAACCAATTTCGCCAACTACCTCCGTAATCACGTCGACCTCAAATTTTGACGTCATAAATGATCATATCTCATCCCTCGATGTTTCTTCTTTAACTTTAGCTGACTCATCATCTTCACCACCATTAGCACAACAACCATCACCATTTCTACATGACATCACCGTTCCTGTTGTTGATGACTATATCAACGACAAAAATTCAATGATAAATTTAGCGGAAGTCGAAAATTCGGGTGTAGCAGCTGCATCACAGACATCTAATTTGCTTGACGACGAGAATTGGGAACAAGTGGAGAAAGTAGAGTTGGATGATCAGCGGCATTCCGAGATGCTTAGTCATTTACCGAAAATGCCGATAAGTGCGATACCGGAGGAACCACCGCAGTTGCCCGTCATGTCTTTAAATGTAAATGAATAATCACCTCAAAAAATTAATGAAAGCACAAAAGTGTTTTTACACCCGAATAGTCAATCAGTCAGACATCCCGTCTTCTGAACTAACAAAAATATCGAACAATTAATTAACATTTTTTCCGCATTCTTGTTTCTTCCGCATTCTTTTTTCTTCCGCATTCTTTTTTTTTCCGCATTTTAGTTTTTTGTCTTTTAGAATGACGTTAACGTTCATCATTAATTAATTAATTTATTTATTTATTATTAATTCATTTTATATCATAATCATTATTATTACTATCATTCATTTATGTACATTTAAAAAATTATTTTTGTTGACTCACTCAAGAGTAATTACTTTCGGTGTCAAAAATAGTGTTTAATAATTCACGTTAAAGTTGGTATATCATCATCAGTTTTATGTACATTTAAAAAAATTATTTTTTTGTTGATTCACTCGAGAGTAATTACTTTTGATGTCAAAAACAATGTTTAATAATTCACGTTAAAGTTGGTATATCATCATCAGTTTTTCGAACAGTATAAATTTACTTGCTCTGCACTATGACAATGTGAATAGACCAACACACTCATTACCTTTCCGCAATCATAAAAGATATAACAACAGTAATCACACATTTATGCAAAGTCAAATAAGTGAATTTGATTCGATGAATCTTTTAATTCAATTTTTAAACAATGAGATTCCGTAAGGTAATCCGTTAGACATTGAAGTATTGGAGAATTGTTACATTTGTGTCGTATTATATTATATGATTATTTTCTTTACTTTAAAATTACAATAGACATTACCGATAAATTATGAATTCGACCATGATCAAAGAAAACGGTGAGCTTTATTCTGAAATCCTCGATACTTTTAAGAATCTTGTTTCCCATGCTACTTTTAAGCCGTTCCAGTTATCAGTATTAATTGGTAAAATGGTTTTGCGAATATCATCATAACTAAATCAAAGAAAAAAAAGCAAGTCGCATGATAGCGCCTAGCCGACCACTAGATAGTTACTCAAAGTCATCCGACCATTGACCAAGAGCACAACCATCATCACTTGGGCCAGCCGATCACTGAATACCCTTGATCAGCTGACCACTGACCAGGAACTCCCTTTGACTTGAATTTTAAAATTTTGCGTCAATGAGAAAGTAAAATAAGTAGATACAGAACCTTTGCATATATATCATCATATTTATCTGTTCGATAATTAATTATGAGTTTATTTATTATATGTCCCGCCTGGTGGAATGTGCTTTAAAAAATTTAGATCCATGACTGGACCCATCTATGTGAAAAAAATACACCAATTAACTTTAATTTTCTAATTTTGGCGATTGTAAAACAAATCTGCGGACGAATATAAATATCAAAATATTTATATTAGGCAAATAAAATCAATTGCATGCTTATTTGCCTATCATTATACGTAGTAGTAATAATAAAAATATGGATGATAACGAAGATGAAATTGTAACCGAAAATTACGAAGATGAAGATGATCAACAATCTGACTTTATTAAATTATTTGAGAGTTCTCTTGATAAGAATAAAAAGTAGTATGGATCGAATAAATTTGTGATTTTGCATTGATTAGTTCTTTTTTACCAATTTCATGCCCTAGGAATCAGAAACAACTTCCAAAACTCCCACGTCGTGGTAAAAAATCCACCACCACCTGCAATAACAATCAAACAACAACACACCTTTTAGAAACATCACGTGACACACTACACAAAACCATATCTCAAGAACGTAAAACAATAGCGCGTAATTTGTGTCATGCAATTTGGCATGGGGCGCCAATAAATCAAGGACTGCTGACCAAAGTCCAGCATCAAGATTTTCATCGAGATATTGGACATACAAGTATGGATCCTAATAATAATAATAATAATAATAATAATACTCCGAAAAAAAAAGACGGTAAAATTTGGTTATGGCCTGAAGAAGTGTTGTGGTTGATGGAACGTGGCGTGTTGATGTTGCAATATTGTGGAGCTCCGGTTTCTTTGCAACAAGCGTATGAGATGATGCTGATGATTGATAATAGTCACGATGGTAATGAAACCGATAATGAAAATTATAAAGATCGGTGGGTTTTTAATTTAGAGAAATATCAGGCAAGGTTATTTTTTCTCTTTTGTATATGTATGTATTTACATATTTGTGTGTAAACTGGGTAGATGAATAACTAACTTCAATCCTGTATTTACCATAATAAAAATAGGTTTATGCGTATCTAAAAAGACTTGGATACATTGTAATTAGAGCGCCTAATGCTTTTCATACATCATCGTCATCATTAAAAAAGCATTCACCTACTCCTCCTACCAGCACATCAACATCATCTTCACTATTACCAACAACAAGATTTCACCAGTTTCTACTAAACTTATCGACCGTTTTATTATATTTTCGTCCTCTGTTCTCCTTATTTGATCTTTTTCGAAATAATCATAATAGTGACAATAAAATTAATAATAATGATGTGATGTGTCGTCCGCTTGTTGAGCCTGGAACTTGTAGCTCTTTTGGTATGTATGCATTTATACTTTATTTCCTTTTTATCTATTTTTTGATTCAAATTTGCAATTTAGAAGAAGTATTCGAAAATCTACAAATAATTAAACGGATTGACGATGACGACGAAATATACAGAAATCAATCGAAAGATGATGAAAACAATTATACAATTGATTATTATGTGTATGCGGGCTGCTCCAAATTCAAAAAGAAACAACCGGGTGAGCCAACATTTCGTGTTTGTGTCACCAGGTGTGTAATCATGAATTGAATTTTTTTGATATGTATAAAATCTGATGATAAATCGACCCTATTTTTTGTTAACAGTGCAGAATCAAAAACTCCACTGGCGTTTCATGATTTTTCTAAAATATTCCGTGAACCAAGTAAAATCATATTTGCTATTGTTGAAGGTGCAAATATCGTGTTTATTTCTCGTCAAGCTGTTAATTTTCATGGGTTAAATGTGAAAATTATTGGTGTTGATTGTTGATTAAAAAATTCAACCTTGTAATATTAATTAGTAATCAGCTATATAATAAACTACTTTTTTTTTATTTGCTATTTATTTAAATACATAACAATTATTAGTAATATATTAATTATCCAAAAATGTAATTTAATAAAATTCAATGCTGTTGCTGTTTTAAATCCTCCAAATAACCCGGAATGTCTTCAACTTTCATATCCTTAATATCCTTCAACGTCTTGGCAAGAATCGCCACACCCTCCATCAACTCTTGTTCAGTGATACAAAGCGGCGGTGCTAACCTTATAATATTAACATGCGTCGGTTTCGCTAATAACCCTCTCGACTTCAACAACAAACAAAGTTGCCATGCAGTCTTATCCGATTTTGTCTCGTCAATAACAATGGCATTCAAGAGACCCCGGCCACGCACTGTATGTATAAGTGGCGAAGCAATTTTTCGTAATTCTGCACGGAACTTTTCGCCTAGTACTACTGCTTTTTCTACTAGGTTTTCTTCCTTGATAACTTCAAGTGCGGCGATGGCGACTGCGCAGCCAAGTGGATTTCCACCGTATGTGGAGCCGTGTTCGCCAGGTTTTATACAGAGCATTATTTCTTTGTCGGCTAGTACGGCTGAGACTGGATAGATGCCACCAGAGAGTGCTTTTCCGAGTAAGAGAATGTCTGGACGGACGTTTTCGTGTTCGCAGCAGATCATTTTTCCGGTTCGTGCGAGCCCGGTTTGGATTTCGTCAGCGATGAAGAGCACATTATGTTTTTTGCATAAATCGTAGCAAGCTTTCAAGTAACCGTCATCCGGAACATGAATGCTATATATTTAATAGAAATAAGTTTCTAACTGATATCAATTAATTAACAATTAATTAAAAAAAATAAAACATCAAGTACCCAGCCTCTCCTTGAATCGGTTCAATCAAGAAACCAGCAACGTTAGGTCCATTAGTATTCAATACCTCTTCCAAATCCGCCAAATTATTATACCTCACAAGTTTACCAGTCTTTGGACAAACTGGACCCACGCCCGGCAGATACGGTCCGAAACCACCCCTCGCATCAGAATCGGTCGACATTGAGATAACACCGATGGTACGACCATGGAAATTGTTAGTCGCCGAAATGACCATTGCCTTATTTGCCTCAATACCTTTTTTCTCGTATCCCCATTTACGTGCGAGTTTTATCCCGGTTTCGACAGCTTCCGCGCCGGTGTTCATTGGTAGGACCATTTCGTAACCGAAGTACTGTTTCGTTCGTTTTGGATTTTGAGTTTGGAATAGGGGTTAGTAAGTGTGTTTGAAGATAAAGCTTTTTTGGAAATGAATAATAATAGCACTATAATAATAAAGTTAACTTTGGGAAAACTGCCCCCAAGAATCTTCTGTTGTTTTGAAATCAATCTGTAGATTTTGGTGATGATACACGAGCATCGCTCTGTCATATGTAAATATGATATATAGTATAGTATTCACGACTAAAGACTCTTTATAATTAAATCAAAACAAAATGCATAGGCAGACAGACATAAAAATCCGAACAAACAACTAAAAAAAATGATTTATATTTACCTCGGTTACATATTTTGCATACCTTCCAAAAATGTCATTATAAAACGCGCGGGAATTCAATGTCAGCGTTTTCGCCTGATCACACAACGCTTTCACAATTTTCGGGTGACAGTGGCCTTGATTCACCGCCGAATATGCGGATAAAAAGTCCATGTATTTGTTGCCCTCTGGGTCCCATACATGTACTCCTTGGGCTTTTGCGAAGACTACTGGAAGTGGGTGGTAGCTGTTCGAATGGATTGAATATCAAATATAGTGACAAGGTTTAGATTTGAAGAAGTTAGTCTTTTTGGACTATATATGGAAACTCTATTCTCGTTTTCTATTTATTTAACTGCTTACTTGTGTGCTGCATATTCTTGTTCAAGATTAATTAGAGCTTGCGAGGTGAGAGTATTGGATTGTGCCATTTCTTTAAAAGAAGAATAATAGTCGTAATAATCGCAATTAATAGTTTAATCAGTTTTATTTAGCTATCCTTTTTACTTTTGATAAAAAGAATAAACTATAAAAGTCTCAAAGTCTCGAAGTCTTCTTTTATGGACATTATCGCCAAAAAAAAAATTGTGATCACGTTTTTTAGATGAAATTTTCTCGTGCATATGCACAATATAACATATCGATATTATACCCCGTATTTATGATATCATCAAACTAAAAATGGATGAAAAATCTAAATCGAGTAATAAATTGCCGATGTGAGAACTTTACCACAATATCGTGGGAACTTTTTTTGATTTTTGATAATTTTGTGCGAGTAAGTATGTTACCAACTAGACAAATACAGCACATTTTGCATTGTTTATTTGTTTGTTATTATTCGACAAACATGGAAAATTGTAATAAATTGGATGAATTTTCCGAGTATTATGGTATGACATGATCGAAATATTTTTTTCTATTAACGTCGCAATCGTTTCTTGAATCTCTCAGCCACAATGTCATCAGTAGCCATCTCTCTACGTTGACCGCCTGTATTGCTCTTATTATGATGGTAGTGTTGTGACTGTTGTGACTGCTGTGATTGTTGTGGCTGCTGTGGCTGCTGTGGCTGTTGCGGCTGTTGTGATTGGTCTCGTAGAGATTTGGTATCAATTGATTGTTGTTCATTTTTAATATAATTGATGCCACCACCACCTCCTCCTTGTTCATGGTCACTTGTCGTCGGTCGATTACGAAAGACTATATAAGAATATGTTATAATAAATATATTGAATATGATAACGAATTTATTCTAATCAAATTAACTGTTCCTACATCGATTACTTGCAGAAATATTCGCTCCTACAAGCTGAAAAAGGAATAAAAAATGATTAAAAAATTTTTAGTTAATTATCAATTTACACGTATACCCACCGAATTCTTATCCTCAGCAGGTTTTTGATGTCGCTCTTCCAATAATCTTCGTTTTGCCTTTTCTGTTTCTTCGATGTTCTTTAGTCGTACACTTTTTTATCATCATTAATGAGTATTAGACAAGCATATATAAGAATACTTAACAAATTAATATATATTGAGATTATCTTACTCTATTCCTAGATCAACTTCTGGGATAGCAGTAAGCATAGTTGTCGATAATTGTACGTTTCCTTCTGAAATTGGCTTATTCTCGATCTGAAGAAAGAAAGAAAACAATCTTTTAATTACATCATTAAATCTGTCATCGAACATTTTGAATTAACCCACCCAAAAGAAAAAAATCAAATATGAAATATACCCGTAAATGATCGGGCGGTTGAAACAATTCATCCTCAGGATTCAAAGGTTTATTAGTCTCGACTTCTTCCTCATTTTTGGAGAGGGCTGAAGATTGTTGTCCACCTCTACGTTTACGCATTTCTTCTTCGATAAATGCCATCCTGTATATATATATATATATAATTATCGAGAATGGATTATTATATAATATTATAGAAAAACTCATAAAATATATAAATTAGTATTACCGACATGTGTTTATCGATATCTAGAGCATTTGTCTGTTTAGTAAATGAATCAAGCATGATTTTTCGTTGTTCGCCAGTCTCATCCTCTTCCTCACTAAATCAAAGAGATTATTTTTAGTTTAAATAAATGATTATTTTTGGTAATGGATACTCACTCTTTTACTGCTTTTACTGCTTCAAGATCCACCAACCCGCCAGATTTCAATTTCCACGGATCATCATCTTTCTTCTTTTTCTTTAGTTTCACATCACCTTTTGACAGTTTCTCTATGTCAATGCCTTGTGGTCTTCGTCGGTATTTTCGTAACTCGATAAGATCTTCGATTGTCTCACTTTTTTATTGTCGGTCGATTCAAAAGGTTAATTCAAGGTAAAGTTATTCGGAGTGAAAAAATGAGAGTAGCATGAAGGATAAAGAGCAGAATGATTTATTTATTCAAAACTAGTTTGATGCTGACCTACCTCACTTCCGAATCTACATTTTGCTGTTGTTGTATAATATCAGAATCTTGAGATAGTTTGTTTGCGTCTTTTTGCTCGTCATCGGACGAAACAACTTTTTTACGATAACTTCGTTTTTTGGTTGCCATTCTCTTCTATTACGTTTTTTATTGCTATCACTATAATTCTCTAGCGGTAGTATTCGAAAATAAACTTTTCCGGTGATTAATTAATTAATCACTCATTGTAGATCAATAATCTCAATAGATAGGCAATCAAACATCATATATGGGATTCTCGTTTTATTATATAACTGTCTAATTAAACAATCAAAAGATAAGGCGTGATCCTGTCTTTTTCTCCCAATGAAATAAAAGAATAGCAAGTTTTTGTTATTTCGGAACAAACTGTAAATTATAATCATTAATCACCACCTAATGATTTTCATCATTCGTTTCATCGATCGCTCAAATAATAGTTAATTTATATGAAAATAAGCCAATATTCACAAAAGCTTGCCTTTCTTGAGAATCTCTTCCAAGAATCCTATGCTTTTGCACGTGATTGGATAAAAAGGCTGTTAATGTTTGCGTAAAATCCAACAGTTTACCATTTACTATTCAATTATTATAATAGATTCGTCCGGTAATGGTACAATCTCAAATAATGTCTCATAAGGTGTTGGTGACATATATCACGTAATATAGGTTTACTATAGAGCCCTCCCCCCTCCCCCCAAGGTAAGCATGTGCCCTTCCCCAGGATGTTACGTAGTATCTGTCACAGCCCTAATGATGCATAGTTGAAACCGACGAAATAATTTTAGTTGTAAGATCCTTTAATTTTTTCCAGCGGTTCGTATTAATAGAATCACTATTTATCCGATATATTGCAATTTGGTGATTCTGACATTATTTTCCAATTTACGAATTTGATCAGGAATGAAATTTTTGATGATCTGACTCTGATTTCGACTACTCACAATATTTGCATTATTGATATTCAACACATTTTTATAGTCATACCTCTCTATAATCACACCTTGGGGGACGTAGTAAATTTTTTAAAAAAAACGTGCTTATAGAGAAGGTTATAAGGATTATAAAGAGGTTTTTTATGATGCGGTGATTATAGAGGTATGACTAGAGATGGCGCAGCAAGTATGTGACGCTTATTTGTCACCCGTTGCAACACGTTGCAACTCCAAAATTTTATAAGCCGCAACTAGTTGCAACTAGGTGATGCTTTATTTGTCACCACGTTGCGCCATCTTTAGGTATGACTGTACCTTTTGACTCCAGCAGTTTCCGTGAGCAAGTCTTTTACTAGGTGATCATTATAGTAGGCATTATTAGTTAGGAAATACATGTAAAACTGTCTTTTACTCTGTCAATATATATATATATATATATCGAAGATCATTTTTAATCCAGATTACAAGTATATAAATTGGTTGGACATTCTTTAATCATTTTAATCGACAGATCTGCTTACTAGGTAAATACAATTACTCATTGGTCCATTTCGGCTCGCGCTTTTCAATAAAAGCCTTCATTCCTTCTTTTTGATCACGCTGTCAAACAATTTGTATCAATTGTCATGTGAGAAAATTTCAAGATGCAGAAATAAAAAATATTTTCAACCGTGAAACAATCCGTCTTACCAATGCAAAAGTGCCCTGGAAGAGCCTCCTCTCGAAATGACATCCTTCTTTCAGCGATAATTCGAATGCTGTATTATTTTATATAGCAACAACATGATATTAATTAGATGCTTTAATTAAAATTAAAATTAATATTAATATTAAATGCAAGAGCAAAAAAACGTGACACGTCCCATTATTAACTGATTCCTTTCCAGCTTGGACAACTGGTTGTGATAAACTCGCAATTTGCTGAGCCAGATTGATCGCCTCTTCTAATACTTTATCAACTGGCAGCACTTTGCTCACGATACCCCACCTTTCGGCTTCTTCCGCGGTAAAATTCCTACCCGAAAGAACAATTTCCATCGCTTTGGATTTACCGATAGCACGAGTGAGACGTTGTGTGCCTCCGGCACCTTTATCGAATAGAATAATAATAATCGTAGAAATTAAATAATTTAATTGAAAAAATTTAAAAAAATATATTTCATCATTTACCTGGTATCACTCCAAGTTTGATTTCAGGCTGGCCAAATGTCGCCTTTACTCCAGCGTATACAATATCACAACTCATTGCTAACTCACATCCTCCGCCCAACTTTACATTTAGTTATATTTCATTGATTAAAGCTAATATATTAAGAGATTCCTGGTAAACGCTGAACAAGTGAATTGATTTTTTGTTTACCGCAAAACCATTGACGGCAGCAATAATTGGTTTCCGTATCTCATTAATCTTTCCCCAATGTCCAAGAAAATTGGATTTGTAAACTTCTGCAAAAGTTTTATCTTGCATTTCCTTAATATCCGCACCAGCTGTATGACAATAATCGAACAAGGATCCCATCCGTGAACAAAATAAAAAAACGCGTATAATAATAATCCATATGAATAACTAGAGAAATGATATAAATATAGAGAAAAATTGCAAATATGGGGAGAAACCGATCAATTCTACGATCAAATTTTTCATATTCTATTTTAGATAAGCCCAGTTTAGACATGTTACGAAAATTTTATTGTTCTTTATAAAAAAAAGTAACCAAAAGTTAAAAAATTGAATTGATCGGTTTCTACTTGCGCGACCCCGTGTCAAACTTGCGGATCCAATCAGATCGCAATTTGATTGGACCCGCAAGTTTAACCATTTTATTAAATTAAATTAACCTGCAAACGCCCGATCACTTCCGGTAATTACAATAGCTCCAATCTCTGGATCATTCTGATATTTTTCAAGTGCATCATTGATTTCGTGGAAAAGTTCACTTGATAGAGCATTCAATGCCTTTGGCCGATTCAAGGTTATCAAGCCAACCTTTCCGTTACTCTCAATCAATATATTTTTATAAGAGCTCACGGGTTCACTGGTTCCTTCAGTAGCACCTATTTAAAAACTTTGAATGAGTAACAAACTTACTATAAATTTTCTTTTCCGTTGTAATATATTTACTTTGTAGCATCGAAGAAGTAGTAAAGAAAGCAAAGGGTAAGAGGGTGCGTGTAGGGCGTTGGTGAGACAAAGGACGAATTAAGCACGAGAACATGATGTGAAGAGAAAACTATGTGGATTGTTAACGCGATAATCAATACTTTTGATCACGTAGATCACACCTAAATTTCCATCAGCATATGATCTACCTGCTACATTATTCTGGTAAATTGAACCTGGTGTGATGTGGCACTATACATATATATAGTTAAAATCAAAGCTATTATACTTAATAATAATGTCGCGGCTGATGCTGAAATTCATATGATTTATAGTTATAAACTTTATATAACTCTAATCCTAACCTTAACCCTAATCTTAAAAGTCATTAACCAGATATACAGTTTTTTGATATATTATTGGAGTAATTATTTAATCGATATCGATATATAAATGGGCTTTTCGAAAACGCTAACGGCATGCATGACTAATTTAACTGGATTAAGTTATCTTCCCAATTACTCTTATAATTATTATATTAAATAAAAGCTTTATTTGCAAAATTATTTATTAAATACGCAAATATGTCTACAATTGCCTCGCACTTACCTGAAAGATAACCCTTCGCTTATTCTCACCTATTCTTATATATTTTTGAAGAAACAAAAAGTATTGGAATATGTAAAAGATTATCTTCACCTACATCACCCATCACCACGATAATAGATTTTTTTAAATAAAAAGGTGAAGGAGGAGGGTAATTGATTAAGAGAAAAAAATGCAAAAAAAAATAATGATGGGTCTAAGTGAAGAAAATTATCACTAAAAACTCACTCCTAGTCACCAAATAAAGAATAGACGGCAATCTTGGGTAACCAATTCTCATAGAATTCTAATGATGATGAATTATTTATTTTTACTTAATTCACAATTAGCTAATGAATAATGATCATTCACGAGAATTTACCTAATATTTTTTTCGATCAGTCTTTAATAGCTCAAAATCACCAAAAAAAGGGTTTTAGTTAGGTAGATGGCGAGGTCTATCATTAACAATAAGGATAGATGTCAGTAAATGCAAAAATGTAATTTCGGAATTAATTATATAATGAAATCAACTTACCACATTAAGATTATCAGCTTTTCAGGAAACAATTGTCAATATTATATAATGACTTTTTTATTTGTGCTGAATAAAATAGATTTACTTTGGGAAAAAGACAAAATAGATTATTTTTTAGTTATATTATTAAAAAGGAAAAGAAAAGAGAAAAAGTTATAATCTATTCTTAAGAGCGTGTGTATGCGCGCAGTAATAAAAAAATAATAAAAATAAGAATACCAATGATAAACATATAGGGTTAGCGAGAAATAAAAAAAGTGAAATAATGAATCCATTCAATCAGAAAAATCAAGCGAGAGGATCAGAGGAAAATGCAAAGTGAACCGTAGAAAATCAACAATCAATCAAAAAAACAGAAAAAAAAAAGAATGCCAAATCATCAATGTTTGGTGATGATAATGATGATGGTGGAAAAGCAAAACAAGAAGGAATCAATCACAGAATCAATAGCGACTACGACTCCGAGGCAGACTTCGGCTCCTAGTTCGACTTCGAGAAAGACTCCTCGACCGACTGAGCGAGTAACTTCTACTTCTACTCCTTGAGTACGGAGTTCTAGATCTACTACGTGAACTATACGAACTCGAAGAATATGAACGTCGTCTACGAACCGGAGATCTAGATCTAGATCTTGAGTATCTGCTGCTACGAATTGGAGAGCGAGCTCGGCCTCGGTAGCTGCTTGGACCAAATCTACGTGGTGGTGAGCTGTATCTTGTTGCTGCTTATATTTTGTTGTGAAAATTAATATTATACTAACTATAATTATTTTCTATAGATCATCAAAAGACGAGAAAGTAACGTTTTACCTCTGCGACGTGCTGGTATTGGGGGAGGAGAGGGACGTCTTGGTACAAATGCACACGTTAATTCAGTTCCATCAAGTTGTCCCTTATTATATAGAATTCAAATACATCAGCATTAAAAAAATTGAATTTGTAAAATATTAAAATATTATTTTTGCATCTAAACTCTGTAATCTGAATTAATTAATTACCCCATCCATATAGCTTACAGCCCTCTCTGCTTCTGTCCTGGTAGAATATTCAATATACGCAATACCCCTATTGGCATTCCCTAATTAACAATCCCGAAATTCAGTTAGTAATGTTTCATTTCAAACATCTCGAACAATAATAGATATTATGGATAATTATATTCTTATCCGCCAAAAAGAACCAGAAAATCAAAACCCACATTTCTTATTAATCGGCAAATCAATATGAGTGATAGTCCCAAACGTTCCAAAAATCTCTTGCAAATGTGCCACGGTCACATTCTTTGTCAACTTCTCCACGATAATCTTTGTCAGTGGTGCAGGCGAAGAGGCGCCTCTTCTACTACGTGAAGGTGGTAGTGAGCGAGAGCGACTTCGTGAGTATGATAAAGAGCGTGAGCGACTTTTAGAGTAGGAACGAGAACGGCTCCTTGAAGAGTAAGAGTAGTAAGAGCGGCTTCTGGAACGGGAACGCGGTGAACGTGATACTGATCTGACTGAGCGACTGCGTGAACGGCTCATGGAGCGTGAGCGTGATCTGCTTCCGGCGCGCGAGTTTGCTCTGGGCCTGGTTAAAGAGAAAGGAATTAGTATCCATAGTAAAGATTTTTTGTCTTGGAGAAATGGCAGTGAAAGAAACTCTACTCACATTGGAGGCCAATTTTAGTAAGCAGTCGGCTTTTTTTACTTAAATTCTAATCAGCTAATATGGATTTGATAATTTTATTGTGTAACAAATCTAACAATATTTTAAGTTTGGTCAATTACTTAACATCAACAAAACTCGCGAACTTGTTAATTTCTCTAAAAGAATTTAATATTGATATTTTATGTCTTTACGATCCCAGGTTATAGATCTATATAAACGGGTACGTAATTTTATCATTGTTCACGCGTCCTAGATAAGAATTAAATGAATTTTCTGGGATTCAATAATGATAATTAACCTCTCTAATTCCATATATAATCCAAATCAACAACAATACAGCTATTATTCCTAGGCAGAGACTACCCACTCGGATACCCCTACTTTAAAAAAAAGGCAAAAGACGCGTTCTTGAAAAAACGAGGACTCGCGGAGGAAAAAGATATTCGAGAAGCTATTTCGCATGGGGAGTATGTGATTAATGGTAGTTATATTTTATAGATTCTGGATTTTGTAGGCGAAAATTTGAGATAGAAAAATAACGACGGGTTTGCTTGAATATTTTTGTGATAATGTCTGACGTGATTTATTTTTTGATTTAAATAGAAATAAAAGCTTTATATTACTTGAAAAAATATCGAGCAATGAAACGAAATTATTATCGTGATAATCATTAGGGGAGAGTGAAGAGATGTTTGATCTTCGTACCCATGATATAATAAGATTATTAATAATAAAGTATTTTAATATTTGAATTTTGTCAAAACAAATAAATACGTAAAAAATATAAAATTCGAATAAATCAAAAATAATAAACAAAAATAAATCTATAAGAAATAAATATATCGTAACATCAATATATACATATAAATATATATAATAAACAAAAAACAGTCACTTTTTCTCAAAATGCGCAAAAATCAAATCATATCCATCAAGCTCATACAAAATACGATCTTTCCTAACAAATCTCACAATATCATCACCCAAAGATGCCACCAAATGTCTTTTATCCCTGCGTGAGTCGGTGCTGGTGAATAAGGTAACACTGAATTTACCCGGATTGAATATGGAGATGACGTTTCTTATTAAGTCTGATACTGTCGAACAAGTAGAAGAATCATTATAATGGAGTGACAAAGGAATATTAGACTCAAAGGATGCATAAGAGCACGACGGCTCCGGAGTAACATGCACAGTAAAATAATTCTCGTCGAGAAGTGCATTCGCAGAGTACCCACACGGTGTAAACAGGAACGAATCGAGTTTCGCACCCGGGTATAAATTTGCAAGTCCGGATTCTTTGTCGATACGTGCCCCATCTTTAGTTCCGGCTTCATTATTTGAAGCATTACTCTGATAAAATTTTTGAACGCTAGAACTGTCTAGGTTTGTCATCAAAATTTCAATCGTTTGGTCTTGAAATTCGGACGCAGTTGTCGTGATGGCTTTCATGGTTGTGGGTGATAACGTATCTTGTTCCAGTTCTTCTTCAGAATCAAGAAAATTTGTTGGTGGGTGCATGTCAATGATCGGTGGCTCGGGGATATGATGAGGAGGTAGTGTTTTGGAGGTAGTGGTTGTAGTGATGATGGCAGGAGTTGAATGTTGATATTGATGATCAAGTAGAACGTCGTCTTGTGGTGAGGTAAGGTATAGGTTCCAATAGTCGGCGTTAATCCTACCGACTATGTATGCAGCTCCATTATCTAAATATTGTCACAATTATTAATATAATATAATATAATAAATTAATTACAAAGACGACTAATTGATTAATTACCAAAAAGATTATCTAAATAAGTAACTTCTTCATTTTCCCAATCCTTATGCGGATGCAGCTGCTGCTTGGGAAACATAAAACGCTTACGCGAATAAAATACTCGCCATACTTTATAAAAATGACAATGTTCTGCCGCGATTTTTAAGAGTTGTGGTATCGCCAATAGTAGTTTTGTGGTGCCGCATGTTTTCAAAATGAGTTTGTGTGGATAGACAAACAGTGATGATTCACTGAATTGATTGATTGATTAATTAATTAATTGTATATAAATCTTTTACACATTGGTCATCATCAAAATAAAATTACCTCAACAAATAAGCATCCACGTAATCATTCGAAATGACGGATATTATCTGACATTTTACGATCTCTAGCATTTCTTTCCAGAATTGTGTTTTCACTTGTCTGAGGCCTATTCTTTTTGATCTATTATCGTTACCACTATAGTCATGATTTCGATTTTTGATAGCAATTGCAGGTGACGCTCCGAACCATACTTCTAGTAATTTCTCGGGACCTTCAAAAAATCCGCTATAATTAATAGTTGCAGTATCATTAATAGATGCTATATGATCATTTGATATGATATCGTTCGTATTGATATTGATATTATTGATCTTGGGATAATTTGCATCGGTATTGATATTGGAATCGATGATATCATTTGTATTAGGATTGACATTGGAATCAATGATATCAGACATTTGATGAAAATAACCGAATTTATATATAATAAATAATTTATTCTATTATAATACAATATTGAACCTATATGACCTATATGCTGGTGACTTGATTAGCAAGTACGAAACGAATTGATGGCGTCGAAGCAAAATTTTTGATTGCGGATATTTGATGGTACAAGATGATGATGGACTCGACGAATCGGAATTTTTGTTTGATAGATAATCTATTAATTTCCATAATTTTAATTCGAAAAGTATCCTAAGAAAGCAAAACGAAAAAAATGCTAAAATTGGTGTCAGACAAAATATTTACTATCTCAAAAACCGCCAGTACAAAAACCCGTATAAAAAAAACGCCAAACCAAATTATCACGAGGAGTAGATATCTATTGCAGTCTTTGAAGGCGTCTTTTGTATTTATTGTCGAGTCGTCGTCGTTGCATGATAATAGTTCATTACTTGAAAAGAACAAGAATATTGCTGATAGTAACAATAATTATTGGTGGGGTCGAGTGAAACATAACGCGTTACCGACAATATCGTTATCAATACTAACACCAATACCAATATCAATATCGCGTTTTTACGTGCTTCAAACGCGTTCATTGTCATTTTCTACTACGGAATGCAAAGATCAATTAACATCCCGGGATACGGAAACAACATCCGAACCAGTAGTAGACGCAGAACAACGAGAAATAAATACCGCCTACATCGACAATATTAACAAAATCATCAAACTACAAGAGGATCCACTTCCACATATTCAAAGACTAGAAGCTTCAATATCAAAAAAAAATGCGACAGAAATCTCCAACGCATATACCGCACTCTTCAAGGCCGGAAAACAAAAACATCTCACACGACAAAACTACCGTGACGCAATGACAATCCTGAAGAAATCGACAGATTCCCACCACTTGACTCTGCTCTACCAAATGCTTCACGACATGGAAACAGTAGGACTGACACCCGGAAATTTCGAGTACAATCAATTGATTTACGCGACTGGAGTTGTGCATTTACAACCCGACAAATCTATGGAAATTTACCAGCAGATGCTTGACCATAGAGTCCAATTGACGGATCGTACATTTAATAATTTGCTCAATGCATACAAGAGGAATTTGGATGTCGAGGGAGCGTTGAGAGTGTATAGAGAGATGCGGGAGAAAGGTGTCCGGCCGGACATTGTGACGTATAATTCGTTGATTGATTTGTTTGCAAAGAAGAAAGAGATGAGTAAGGGGAGAGAATTGTATCGGGAGATGATAGAAATTGGTGTTACGCCTGACATGATGACATTTTCTACTTTGCTAAGTGGATACATTGATGCTGGAGATATGGAGAATGCTCAATCAATTTACGAACTGATAATGACGAGGAATAATGGCGAGCTAAAAAATATGGATTATATCATGGTAAACACGATAATCAAATATTATACCGCAAAAGGAGAAACAGAGAATGCATTGAATGTATATAAGGATATGTCGAAACCTTCTGCCTCATTATCACCAGATAATGACTCTACATCGATAACAACAGCCGGAATATCTTCACCAAATGCACCCAATATATACACATACAACACATTAATCGACCATCACCTAAAAAAACATCAATTCTCTGACGCAACAAACATTTTCCAACAAATGATTGAACAAGGAGTGAAACCAAATCCGGTGACATACTCCACATATATTGAAGCATTACTGAATGTCAATGATTTCGAGGAAGCGATATTCTTATTATCGTCCATGACTAATCAAGGCCTGAAACCTACTTTGCAAACATTTTCCTCTTTTATTACGAAGTTATTGAATAATACTATCAGCAGTAGTAGTAGTAGTGATAGTAATCTTCTCAATTATAGAGATTATGATGAATTAAATGACGATACGAAAACGAATGCTATTAATAAACTCAAAAATTTACATACATCAATCAATCTACTGAACCAAATGCGCGAATATGGACACAAACCAGACATTTACTTGTACAATACAATGCTGGGCACGCAATTTGAGTTATCGGATTACCAAGGAGCTCTGGAAACATACCGAAAAATGGTACGGGACAATGTAAAATTAAACGAGTTATCATATGTCACACTGATAAAAATTTCGAATCAGCTTGGGAATCATACCGAAGCTTTAAAGTTCTACTCGGAGTTAGTTTCATATATACGGCGACAACAGCTCGAAGGAGAATCACATCTAAACACCGAACAGTACAATCAAATATTGGCCTCGTTTGCGAGATCATTACGAATGACAGAAGCACAACGAGTCTTTAATGATTTACTACGACAACATGATAGAAGAACAGAAGACACTGCATCACCTGATTCACTAACTTACGGTATTTTATTAACTGGCTTCGGATATGTAAATGATCGCGAATCAATACGAAGGATACACAACATATTAAATATGGACTGGGGACTCACGCCAACCATACAACTATACAACGCACTAATGAATGCGTACAACATCGTAGGTGATGGTTCACAAGTACTCAAAATCTGGGATGCATTATGGCTCAGCAATCAAATTATTGATGTCGCCTCTGTCTCCATAATACTGGACAATTGTGCATACAATAATTATATGTGGCGTATACGTGGTATTTGGCGAGACTTGAAAGCTCACAAATTCCCACTAAACACAAACAACTACAATTCGTTTATCGAGGCTTTGGCGCGACATTCGTTTTTTGATGAGGCGATTAGCGTCTTGACTGTGGAGATGGTACAAGATAATGTCAAGCCAAACGCGAAATCGGTGCGCACTATCCTATCAATGTTACATAATCGACAAAGATCGACCGAGGAGTATTATGTTATTTCCTGGGTGAGGGAACAGTTTCCAGAGTTGGCTCGCGAGTTAAAACTTGTTAAAGAAGATGATGAATGACGGGGAGAGAAGGATATGAAAATATTGTTTTATCATCAAAGGTCGTTTTTTTGTACTATATGATATTTTCTTATTAAATAATAACAATTATAATAATTATTATTAGAGAATTCTCCCTAAATGCACAGTCTTTTTTTCACATGGTCCCGAGGAGGAGGGGGTTACTGAGGGAGAGTTCTCTGTACTATTATTTATATGAGCAGACATAATTAATCTCTTGTTTGCTATAAAAACATACGAATCGAATTAAATTCTGAAGCAAGCCGTTGATAGTATTTGTATTTTTTTTAATTACGATTGTTGCAAGCTGGATGGCACCAATTTTCTCTGCATCCGGAACACCAATTGTTGGTGCAGAAATATTCCAGGTACCCATCATATATATTTTTTCGTGGCAAGTTGGAAAGGTTATCCATAAATTGAAAATAATTACTGACATAGATTTTATAAACACAATTTTGTATTAAGTGCTGGATCCAGCTTTAAGAATTTGGCAATTTTTCTATTTTCCTTGGATAAGAATTAGGAAAACTTTATTCCTCAACTTTGAGAACTGTTTTTGAGGCCCCTTGATGTTGTATTGTACATTAATGTTAACGTTAGGGAGTGAAGATGATAATATTAATTTTTAGGTTTAGGTCTAATTTAAATTTGGAATAATATGAATAACAACTAAGTGAATAACGATAATATGTATACCCAAAAAAAAATAATGGTATTGAAATGAAGCATTGATGATATCATAATTTAGGATTATTATCTATTATCGTTATAATAAGACAATTGGTACAACATTACTATTTATTATTATCGATATTCGGAAATTCATCACCAGCATCCATCAAACTCAGCCCATCATCGATCATTATAAAGGAGGTGCCAAATGATCTCGGCAAACCAGCCATAGTTACAGTTCTAGTTAGTTTTTTATACCCTCTTCAACTCGATTCTTGTTTTTTTCTCTGTCAGATTGTTAATAATTACATACTTCGAGAGTAAAGTAACCATAAAGCAAAAGAGCAGCAACAGAAAATAAATTAAATAATCGAAGAATATATTATTATCATTATTACTACAAAATTTTAATAAAAATAAAAAATAAAATTTATTATCTTCAATTTACCAACCAACTACCGTTAGAAAATAAAACTTTTTATTTTCTTTCTCTTGGGGGGTTTAATTCAGTTCTTTTCGTCTCGTCTCAGTTCGATCAGCCAGATTACTACTAGTACTATTAGTTCGTATACAAGAAAATAAGGATATACAGAAAATGACAACCGGATTGGTTTATTACAAGTTCAAGTCACAAATAGATCACTCGGTGTGCGAATTTGAGGGCACCGGTATTTCTGTGTTTGACTTGAAGAAAGAAATTATTCTTGCACAAAAACTGGCAAAGTGTACAGACTTTGACCTGGTGTTAATTAATCCACAGACTGATGAAGGTAGGATATCATTATTATTATTGACCTGAATCTATGTACGCTCGCTCATCCTTTCACTCCACTACGTCACAATAACGTAATGCCAAGTGGGTGGGAATGTCTGTACAGTATAATAAAAAGAATATCTTGTTTTTTTTTCTTTTTATTATTATTTTTTTACTTTGTCTTTTGGTGATGAGGATGGTATTAGTTTTTCATGGACACTAGTAGATGATCGAGAATGAATGTAATTTAATCAGTATTTTATTTCGGAGTGTACGGACATTTTATCATCTTTCGCTCCCTTTCTCTTCCTCGTCGCCTTTATTTCCTTTAGTCTCTTCATTTTTATTTATTATCAATTGTGTAAATAAAATCTCCCTTCCGTATTTTTATTTTTACGCAAAAAAATCATCATTTTCATCTTTATTTCAATATCATGATTGTAAGAAAGAAAACAACAAAAAAAAAAACAAGAATCTGTGTATTATTTTCTATTCATCTTTTCCGCCATCGTCACCTTGCGCGATAATTTGAGGCTTTTCATCACCATTATTGCATTGAGCGATAATTTGAGAATCAATGCGCATTCACGACTCGACAAATAGTAGTCAAGAAAAGAGAGAGCCACAACTATCCTTCCACTCGTTTCACTCGTTTATTCATCAATTAATCTTCGACACTATGGATCCAATGCCTCGACAATCATCATCACCATTATTCAATTATTGAGTGGTCATCGTCGTCGTCGTTGTGATAGTAGTGTGTGCATGCTTGATTATTTTGTTTAACTACTTTTTTTTTCGACTAATAATAACACCACTACTATTATTACCACCACCACCACTACCACCACCACCACAATTACTACTACTACTACTACTACTACTACTAACTATGTTATGACGAAAATCAACTAACAAAATAAAAAAATTTATCCACCTTCGCATAGTATAACCAAATCTATAGATTCTTTCTTCTAATTAACAGCAATCGAATATCTTATTAAATTACTACATTCTTATATAATTCTCGTTGTTTTAATCAAAGTCAATAACCAAAAAGCTGACCATTTTTCTCTTCTTTCTTTCTCTAAATAATATCCATAATGGCAATTAGAATACACTGATGATGCACATATAATTCCACGTTCAGCATCCGTCATCGTAAAGCGAGTACCAGCCTCAAAACCTGGTAGAGGATCCGTGCAACGGTACTTGAATGGATTTATGCCAACAACTAATGGTAGGGGTCGAGGAAGACACGGGGCAAATATGAAGGTACAGACACGAACTCTCTATTTTTTATCGTCTCATCTTAAAGCTTAATTTCGGTTAATGATTTGATCAATTGGATTATTCGACTAGATGCCCGAGCAACAAAAACCAAAAATGCAGTCTCCCGAACCCAAAAAACCAATCACATCTCTTACAGCCGGTACCGGTGATGATGATTCGGAGGAAGCCCGAATCAAGGCCATGTTCAAACAGACGACCGAGCAGTGGGAGCAACAACAGGAGAAATTGGCTGAAGCAACGCCGATATATAATAATAAACGGCGACAACCACATAATACACCTCAAAATACTCCGCAGAAAATTCCACCGCTTAATTACGTTTGTTTCCGATGCGGTACTAAAGGTAATCAAGTAATTCTATTTGCAATGAACGACAATAGATACGTTTACGTATTAGTGACATTAATATCAATATTTTATGATTTGATAGGACATTACATCAATAATTGTCCGACAAATGGCGACAAGGAATACGATAAAAATAAAATCAAGAGAACAACCGGAATTCCAAGAAGTTTCTTAAAACAAGTTGATGAACCAAAGAAAAATGGAACTGGTGGCTTAATGGTCACTCCACAAGGTGGTTTGGTCATAGCGGTAGCAGATAAGTAAGTATAACGTTTGTGTTTTTCCTATCTATCATATATAATTAATGAAATTAACCTAAAAAATCAACTTAGTGCATCATGGGAACGCCACAAAGCAATCACACGAGCCCCGTTGGGCAACAACGGTGACATCTACGAACAAGCTCCAGTAAAACCAGAAATGGAGTGCACTCTATGTCATCACCTACTACGAGAAGCGGTCACCATTCCCTGCTGTAATAAAAACTTTTGTGATGACTGCGTGAGAAATTATTTGCTCGAACATAACTTTGTTTGTCCTTCTTGTCGCACAACCGATCAGATTCCTGACAATTTAATACGAAATCATTCGTTGAGAGCAGATATTGAAAAATATCTTAAAGAATATGCGATCAAACTCAAGAACTCTTATTTGTTATCGGATGGAACAACACCGAAAACTCCACCGAAAGATAGCGAGGATTCTAGTTCTAGTTCCAATTCCAATCTCACTAGTACTCCAACAAATAATAATAAGAGTATCGACAGTAGCGATGATAACACAAAGAATGTCAGTGTAAATAGTAATACTAGTAGCAATAACACTACTCCCAATGACATTCAAGACAATAATACCACAAAACCCACTACTCCACGTTCCACATCCCCAAAACCAAGATCACGGAACAATCCTCCTTCGCCACTTCCCACTACTAATACCAATGTTAACAATACTAGTCGTGAAACATCAACATCAGCTATCAAAACATTCACAAATGATTCAAGATATTCACCTTCATCACGAGATGCTGCTAATACTAATAATAATACTAATAATAATAATAACAACAACAATAATAGTAGCAGTAATAGTAGTAGTAATAATAATAATAGTAGTAATAACAATGGTAATAATAACAATAATAGGATAGGAGGAACAACAACAGCCGACCATACCTATTATGCAGCAACGGAAGTTGGTTATCGGGACGGAACAAACGATCAAATGTATTACTCTGAACCTCATCATCCATTCGTTGGAAATATGTACGCTGGCGGAGTTGATCCGTATGGATACAAGTAAGTATCGCTTTTTTTGACGTGCATAATATTTTAGTTAAAAGACGAATCTAAATATTATTCTATTTCATATTAGTTATCCACCATATCCTCCTCACAATCCATACACTTACGGATACCCGGCAAACTACGGATACTATCCTCCACCGGCAGCTGTTGGGGCAGGCATGTATCATAATCATCATAGCCCTCATCATCATGCTCAGTACGAAAAGAAATATAACGAGAAGAAACAAAAGCGGCCTTTGGATGTCGTTGATGTGCATGCGGCCACTCATCAATTGAAAAAAGTAATGATTTACCTAATTTTAATGGTTTTCCAATTTATGTTAAATATTAACGATTTTTCTTCAAAAAATTCACAGGCGAAAAATAAATAAACTTTTATATTTATTGATTTATTTATCAATTGAACTGAGAGACAAGCCTTGCTTATTTATCACATATCCAATTCGATAACTTAAAAATAATACTCATAATACATTTATAACGATAATGATAATTTATATAAATACATTTTATCAATCACTCAGATTCTTTCTTTGTATATTTTTCTCAAGAATAAAAAATATATAATTTCATTCACACATATTTAATAAAATTTCACGAGGCTGTGATTTGTAATATTGTGACCATTTTGACTATTTTTAAGAGCTTACTGTCTCCAAATCAGCTATCAGTAATTGATCCTATTATTAACTAGTTCCATAACCATTGGAATAACGAAAAGAAAGTTGCTCAATGATATATGTTTCAATTTGCAATAACATTTTGCGTGGGTAAATAATATCCATGATGAAAAATGATGTTTGAGATCTCCTTCAAAAAAGAATATTATTAATTAATGCATTTTATTTTATTAATTACTAGTGTAAATGCTAACAAAGAAAGATTTTGCATTTAAGCCAATTATTAAGCCACTTTTGCAGGAAAGATATCAGATAATCATCAACAAGTTCATATTAAGAGTCTTTTTGATATCTTTTACAATGTACTTTTACATGTCACATTTCTTTGTGATCCAAAAAGCAAACACTCTTTTCATTTATCAGGATAATATCACTAAAGATATTATCTTTAGTTTTAATATATATGTATAGAATTTTATTAATTATAAATTATTTTATTATATGACAATATATTTTTAATCTTTTAAAAATTTTGGCTAAATGTATTTGCTAAAATGTACTTGCTTATATTTATTTTTATAAATAATATAATATTTTATAAAAATATTCAAATTTTAATTATTTATTTTTTTAATTATTTATTTAAAGTCTTTTTTGAAAAATTTTCACAAAAATTTTATTACAAAAATAAAACATATTATAAAAGAATTTTGTTGTATTAATTAAAAAAATATGAAAGTATATTTTAAAGAAATGATTTTTAGATATATTTTTTATAAATTAATTGTATTTTATTCTAAGTATTAGCAAATTTCAAATTAACATATCAGAATCTTTGAAATATGAATATATATTGTATATCTAATATTTATTAATTATTTTTTCAATGACCTCTTTGAATAAAATTATATTTTCTTTGATATTATTAATATTTTCAGCAATTTTATTATGTAAAGCTATAAATTTCATAACTTTTGATTAATTTTATGTCTTACTTGTATTCATTTTTTGATAGAATTACTCTAATTATATCTATTCAATTTTTGAATAAATTTGTATTAATGCAAAAAGAAAATATATTAAATATTAATATTTTAAAATATAATACAAATGATTTAAAATCATTCAATAATTTTGAAGTATAAAGAATTTTTATTTAAATAATTAATCATTAAAAAAATATATTCTCAAATAATTTTGATATATTTATAATTGAGTATATTTTTTTGTTCATTTATTACAAAAATTATTTGTAATTAGATTTTTTTATATTAATTTTAATAATAATAAAAGATTTTTAGCATTTAAAATATCATATATATTATTTTTGATTAATTGAATTTTATCATATAAAATTATTTATATAAAATTCTAATTAGTATTATATATAATAATTTATTTGAAAATAATAATTCTTTAAAAAATTTAACTAAACAAGATATATTATATAAAGTTTAGCTTTTATTATTTGGATATATTTTATAAAATTATTATTTTATTATATTTAATAATTAAAAATTACTAAACTAAATTTATAAAATTATTAAATTTAGTAATTTAATAATATAATATTAAAATATATTTAGTATAATTTAACTAATAATATTAAATTCAAGTTTATTTTTGTAAATAGCTAAAATGAGTTCAGAAATTTTTTTAATACTTTAAATATAAATAAATATAATTTTATTAATAATTTATAAACAAATAAAATATTAATAATTTTTTATTTCTTAAATTGTTCAGCATACAAAATTAAATACTAAAATATTTTGTTTTATATTTTTGCTTGCATTTATAATTTTTAATTTTCTTATTTTAAAGATCAAAATTATATAACTAAGTATTTTTATAGATTTTTATATATAATAGATTATTTAAAAGATTATTTTCATTTTAGTTATTATTAGTATAAGAATTTTTATTATAATAAAATAGTTTAAGAGATAGATTATACAAATATTTATTATAGTTATTCTAGAATAATTAATTAAATTATATTAGTTTCTAATTATATAATATTAATTAGCAAAATATTAAAATTTTATTTAGAATTAAAGTTAAAATCAAAATTAGAATTAAATAATTAATTAAAATAAAAATTAAAGTAAAATTTCACAAAAAACAAATTTTTTTAGAAGACAAAATATTTTTAAAAAAGTATTTGTTTAAATTTTTTATATTTTATAATAATTTTTATAAATTATACTTATTTATACATATAATATAAGAATAAAATTGTCTTTCTGAAATTTTTTATTAGTATTTTAAGATAATTTAAATATTTATTTTCTGTATTTTTGCATTTTTCTCATTTTTTATTATTTGTTTTGTTAAATTAATCAAAAAATTTATACTTTTTTATTAATTTATATTATTCTAAATATTTATTTTTGAATTTGTATTATATATATAAATAAGTATATTCATATTTATATATTAGCTTATTTAAACAAGTCAAATAAGTTTTTTTGTTATATTTTTCTCTTTAATAATACAACTATATTTTTATTATTATTTTCTTAGTTATTGATTATTTTTAGTTATTTATTATTATTTTCATAGAATATTATATTAAAATTATTAATTTATCTAATAATAAGTATCAATAAATAAATTAGCTTTTTTAGTCTCAAATAAAGATAACAAATAATATTTGATTTTTAATCTTCTTAACAACTTCTATATAACTTAATAATTTAAATAAAATACTTTTTTGTTTCTTTATATAAATTAAAATTGCTTTTTTCTTATTTTTCATAATATTTTTGGCTTTTTTAATTTCTTTAATATTTAAATAATTTTTTATATTATATATATATTTGAAATAACATGTTATTAATACTTTTTATTTTTATTTATCATTATTTTTAAAGTTTTTGTAAATTAGATTTGTAAGAAATATTTTCTTGCTATTTTATTATATTAAATTTATTTAAGTTTTATCTTTTTAATCTAATATACTTATAAATTTTATTTGTATTCTAGCATATAAAATATGCTAAACTTTTATATTTAATTATTAATTTTGAGAATATTATTGTTATAATTATAAAAAATTTATATTTTTTTGTATTCTGATCTTTAATATTTTATTATTCTCTATTAATTTTAAATACTACTCAAATACTTTTATTACTTTCTATTTATTATTTTCTATTAATTTCAAATATTGCTTGAATATTTTTATTGTTTTTTGTTAATTTCAAATATTATTTGAATACTTTTACTGTTCTTAATTAATTTCAAATATTATTCAAATACTTTATTACTCTTTATTTATTATTCTCTGTTAATTTCAAATATTATTCAAATACTTTTACTTTGTTAATTTCAAATACTGCTTAAATATTTTTATCATTCTCTATTAATTTTAAATATTATTCAAATATTTTTGTTGATTTCAAATAATACTCAAATACTTTCAGTACTCTATGTTAATTTCAAATAATATAAAAATATTTAAAAATTAAAACTTAACAGAAATATTCAAGAAAGCAAAAAATGTTAAAGTTATATTTATCTATAATAATTTTATTATTATTATTTATATAATATTATATTATAATAAAAAAGTGATAAAAATTAATTGAATTACTATTTAAAACAAGTTTTTCAAGTGTAATTAATTAAAAAAAATAATAAATCATAAACCAAAAAAATTTAAATAAAATTATTATTATAAAAAATATAAATTATTTATAATAATCAATTATCTAAAGTAATTAGTTTTTTTGATTTGTTCAGTAATTTATTAGTAATTAATTTATTTATAAATGTAAAATATATTTTAACTAGATTCAAAAAATAATTTTAAAAATTTGAAAAGTTAATTAATAATATATTTATCTTTTAATAAATTAGAAATATTATCTTTTATTTTGTTAGTAAAAATTAACTCTCTATATTATTTGAATTTATATAATAAAATATATTATCAAGTATAAATTCTGGTTAAGCTTCTCTTTATATATATATATATTATTGAAGATGTAATCTTAATAATATTTAATATAATAAAATTATATATAATTATAATTTATTATAACTATTATATAAATATCACATAATAAATAAATTTTGTGATTTTATTAATTATATTATATTATTATATACAATTTGATATTAACAAAAATAATTATAATTAAAAAAATAATATTAGTAAAAATAATTTATTATAATAAAAAAACATGAAGTTTTAAATTAGCAAAAAGTTCTAATTTTCTTTTTAATCTTATTTTAATAAATTTTTTAAAGATAGAAAAATTAAATATTTATTAAAAACTATTGTTTTCTAGAATATTAAACCAGAAATTATAATTATTATAAAAGATAAAAATCTTAATTTGAGAAGTTTCTTTTTTGTTTTGCTTGTTTGCTTTCAATTTTTATAAAAATATTTATTTATAACACTAAAGTTTGATACTTTCACGTGACTTAACATACACCATTAATCATGTGATCGATAACGGATTATTACTTATCGTTATCACAACTTCCATCCAAACAAAATTATATAAATTCATCCACAAGTTTTTTAATAATAAAGTTCTTTTTCCCAATCATTGGATAATATACTACATTGATATAGAAAAATAAATAATAAAGGTTGTGGTGTAAGATAGTTTTTTTTTTTGCTTGGGAACATATTAAAAGAATTGATCTTCAAAATGTAAGCGTCGGATCGAATCGAATAATCGAAACGGATAATTCAAACGAGCGAGCAGTAACCTTTAGAAAATTCGTGTACAAATCTGGATATGTGGTATTTTTATACAAAATAATAGCTATTTGATGCTGCTTATTATCTATATTATTTTTATTAGATTTTACGAGTTTGCGAATTTGGTATTTGACAATGCAGAAGAGGTTAATGCGAAAAAGTAGACGCGGAAAGATAAGGTTCATATTTAAAAAAAAAGAAACGAGATCATTGATTAATTCTTAGTTTTTACTTTTTCGATATTTTTCCGGCTATACTTCGTTTGAAATGATAATATTACGTCGATCCAGTCGTTTGAATTAATTCTAGAAATTTAGAAATATTCTACTCTAATTGCATTCGTGAAAACGCGTTTTGTGTAAAACAGTGTAAAGACGAATACTTTATTGAACAATGGCAAGAAAAATGTATAAAATGTCGTCAATCAAAAATTTTCAGCCAAAGCACAAATAATAATAGTAATAAAGCCAAAAATAATCGACCAACCAATAAATTAAAGAAACAAACAAAGCCCTCGCTTATTTTTTTCTCGAAATTTTCTTTTTGATAGTCTCATCACCCACAAAAATGCCTTTTTGATTATAAGGTTCCGGTTTCCGCCACTTCCTAATATTAGCCGCAAATTGTTTCACCTCTCGCCAATCTGTTCCGCTCAACACGATACGCGTTGGTGAAGGCGTGACGCAAGTAATGCCCTCAGGGACTTTTAATTCTACTGGATGCGCGAATCCAACACGTAATACCAGTTTTCTCTCTTCTTCCATATTAGCACGATACCCTACCCCGACGAGACGCAATGGGACTTGGAAACCTTCACTTACACCGATCACGTAATTTGCTATTAATGCGCGTGTAGTGCCCCACATTGTTTTCTGTTCTTTGACACGTGGCTTTTCTACTGATATTATTAATTTTGATTCTGAGATTTGTGGATTGGAGACTTTTATTTTATCACCATCGATTAAAATCGGGTTTACAAAATTAAGGCGAACATATGGTTTAATAGGCATCGTGTGACTTCCAAGTGGTCCACTGATTGTTAACATCGTGGAATTTAGTTCGCTTGGTACTCTTGGTCTACTTATTGGAGTTGGATCATACGTTAATGTCACCTCTGGTGGATAGAGAATTGGCGTTCGACCAATGTGCGAGTTTGTTGATCGAGTTGTGGAGAAATTTTGTTTTTTTTGTTGTACATTAGTTTTTATTTTGGTTATTTTTGATAACGAATTTAGAGTAATAATATTCCTTTTAACGATATTAATGCCTATATATCTTATCATTTTCAATAAATTAATAACGATAAATGCGTAATTTTGTATGTTGTGCAAGGGGGTGTTGCATATCGTATTAACTTTTTTTTTTATTTAATAGAATTGAAAACTTTAATATAGAACTTATTGGTAGGGGTTTTATATGGACTCGTGGAAAAAATTTAGCTACTAAATTTCACTTCATTAACGTTAAAGACCAAGAAAAATAGCGGAAAAGGAAATATTTTATGAGACACTATACTCTAACAATATGTATTGCGTTGTAAAGAATGTCGTGTTTATTAAGGAAAATGACAATCAAATTTCGACAAAACGAAAATGAATTTGCCGTAGCTTTAAATTATTAGGGTTTTATTACTTCTAATTGAGCGTTATCTAAAACTAAATTTTCACATGTCTATAGCGATAACGATAACGAGAGAAAATATACTGATTTAAATATCGATACACTTAACGTTAATGGCGAAAGATACTAATCCACCAGTTACCAAAATAATAAATTGCCGTCTTATTCGGGACAAAATAATCTATGATGACGTGCTTTACCTACAAAACGGTACAATTATAGACCCACTGGTGAATTTTTTCGAGTGTGGAGAGGAACCAACAAGAGTTATTGACGCGAAAGGTGCTTTAGTGGCACCTGGGTTTATCGATATACAAGTTAATGGTGGGTTTGGATTTGACTTTTCGCAATGCGAGGTTGGAGGTGAACAAGTGTATGTTGAGAATATGAAGAAAATCGCGAGAAGATTGTTGAAATTTGGGTGTACTAGTTTTATGCCTACTTTGATAAGTTCGGCTTCTGAGGTGTATCATAAGGTGTGATAAGAGGGAAGGAACGGTTCATTGAGAGCAAATCCTCTATGTATTTGAGTAAAGAAATGAGAATTTTAATATAGATACTTCCATTACTTTGTCCACGCAAAGGCAGTAAAAATGACGGAGCAGAAATATTAGGTGATTTATTTAATTTAATCATAAATAAAACTTTACAAACGCGTATTTATTGGACAATTATTTATAGGATCTCATGTAGAAGGCCCATTCATTTCATATAACAAAAAGGGCGCTCACGAACAATCAACTCTACATAACGCACCGAATGGGTTTTCTGATATTGCTAAAGTATATGGAATCTCAGAGACCGGAAACAATCATTCAATTAGGCTTGTGACTGTTGCACCTGAAGTAGAAGGAGTAATGGATAGTATACATGATTTAACGAGAGTAGGGATCACTGTCAGTATAGGTATGTTTAATTTTTTATTTGATAGGAAATTCTCTGGTTTACTAAAATACGGTAATATATAGATTAATGTTTATCTCGATATGTTTTTTTTTATAGGGCATTCTACTGCAACTACAGAGCAGGCTGAAAAAGCTGTAGAAAAAGGAGTAAGATTTATATACTTTTTAAATATGGAAAGATTGTTTCATGCTGTTTCTTATTTCGTTTTTTCTTTTGGCTAAGGCACGATTAATTACACACTTGTTTAACGCGATGCAGCCGGTAATTTCATTTTTTTTTCTTCAATTTTTTTCGATATATACGCATTTTTACACGTCATTACTACACCTAACAAAAACCACCGAGACAGTTCCATCATCGTAATCCTGGAATAATCGGGTTACTTGGAACCACTCGCATACCAAGACCATACTACGGTATTATATGTGACGGAATCCATGTACACCCCAACAGCCTCCGAATAGCCTACGACGCACATCCTCACGGTGCAATACTCGTGACCGATGCCGTCCCAGCTATGGGTCTACCACCCGGCGAACACACGTTGGGTCAAGTCCGTGTACGCAAAATAGGGAATGAACGCGTGGAAGTCATCGAAACTGGTAAACTTGCCGGAGCGGTCGTGTCTATTGACAAGTGTATACAAAATTTCAAAAAGTTTTCAGGTTGTTCGATCGTGCAGGCTATTGAGGCTGCTACTTTGCACCCGGCACAGTTGTTGGGGATTCAGCATCGAAAAGGGACTCTAAATGTCGGTTCGGATGCTGATCTTGTGTTTTTGGATGATGATTTGAATGTTATTACATGTTTTATTGCAGGTGAACAAGTATAATATTTTAACAAGGAACTGACGCTAAATTTAGAATTTTTAAATTTTTGTGCAACATTTAAAGTTCTCAATAAGATATATTTAATTAAAAAAAAATGATTTAGATGATCAGACATATTTGCTGCAGTCACTTTTTTTTAAATCATGATTCAAAAAATGCGTTTTAACCAATCGAAATTATGGATTTTGAATTTTAGGCAATAAATAAATCAATATCCCATCGAGAAAGACCAAAAGTACATTTAATTACCAATCTAACGATTAATTAATTTAATCAATTACTTTTCTTATAAGCTAGGTAAATAACTACCATCCCTTTCCTTTTCATAATATTTTGCAATCAAGAATGCCACATCCAAACTCTGTTCATAGTTCAGTCTTGGATCGCAATAAGTTTTGTAATTTAATGGGAGATCAGAGTCCAAAAGTTGCATAGAACCGCCTATGCATTCTATTTATTATTAATAGCGAGAAGCAAAACATAAGCTTAGAAAATCGAAATATATTTCATTAGCAAATAATATTTAATTTTGAGGAATTACCGGTTACGCGATCACCCGTGAGTTCAAAATGCACTCCATTCATATGACTATCATTAGCTTTATGGATTTTTATTGTTTTTGATAGTTCTTCGATGATTGAATTGAAATGACGCGTCTTTACACCCGAAAGAGATTGTTTCGTGCTGATTATTATGATTATTGTTATAATGCGTGAACATAAATTGATAAAATGCATTGTAATAAATAGCATTGATCACTTATTCTATTGTTTATACGCACTTGCCATGCATCGGATCACATGCCCAAACTACAATATGACCTGAGTCTTTTAAAGCTTGTATATGACCTGGTAAATGTTTATCCACCTAAAAGATTAATTAAAAAGCATAAGGTGAATGACGCATTTTTAGTTACAGATGAGTAAATAAAAAAAATACCTCAGTCGCGCCATATCTTGTGATCAACGTAACCTTCCCCACCTCTTTATCAGGATTCACAACATCCAGCAACTCTCGAAGTTCTTGTGGCTTCATAGTAGGCCCAATTTTAATCCCGATTGGATTCTCAATCCCACGAAAATACTCTACATGCGCACCATCAATCTGTCGGGTTCTATCACCGATCCAGATAAAGTGTGCGCCTAAATTATACCATTTCTCTTGGCCAGATTCCGGATCTTTGAATTGTCGCGTTAGTGATTGCTCATATTCGAGCAAGAGTCCTTCGTGGGACATAAATAAATCAACCGTGTTGAGAATCGAAGCAGCGGGCGAGACTGGAGAATCTACGCCGATTGTTTTCATGAAATCTAATGTGTCAGTTAGACGGTCAATTATTTGTTGGTATTCTTGGCGAATTCCGTTTGATCTGACGTGATGTAGAGACCATTCACTTGGTCGGTGAAGATCTGAATAAAGAAAGGGGATTGATTGAGAATCAATTCTTTTACCAATAATTAAGAAAAATATAACGTACCAGCAAATCCAGAACTAATAATTGATCGGACATAATTTAAAGTTGCGGCTGAATGGAAGTACGCACTGTAAAATAAGAATATTTACATTTACATTATAATAAAACGTTGTATTATGAATACTAGCGTATATACACAAACACACCCCACAAGTCTTTCCGGATCCGGATTCCTATCCGATGGGTCAAATCCATTGACATTATCGCCCCGGAATGACGGAATCTCTTTCCCCTCGTAAATTTCCGTGGGCTTTGATCTAGGTTTCGCGTATTGCCCTGCCATCCGTGCAATTCTTACAACAGGTATTCGAGCACCCCATGTTAAAACTAGACTCATTTGCAGCAACACTTTAAGCTTCGATTCAATGGGTTCCTTGATTTGTCAATTAATTAATTGATGGTATATCATAAAATACACATGCATTGAAATTATAAAGATGATGACCACATCATCGATTCTGTGAAAAATTATAAATCTCTACTTTTGAACAGTATTCAAAAAGCTCAGCGCAATCACCACCCTGTAGTAAAAAAGCTTTTCGTGTAGCAACTAGACTTAATTGGTGTCGAATTTTTTTAATCTTTTATCGATACAGACAGGAAATAAAAAATATTAGCAATTAGAGACATATATTTTTTAACAAAATATATAAATACCTCGTTTGGCGAAACAAGCGGTGGCAAAATTGATAATCTTGTCAACACTTGTTTCAGGTGTTCTTGGTTCTCGTAAATTACGTCCTGTTTTATTGGCTTCTTTTGCCACGAAGACGGTGACCAATCCGAAATGCCATTGTTTGAAGTCATTATTGAATGCTGGCTTTGACAAAAATTTGATATTCTTAATTATTCTTAATCAATCCCAAAGTACATGTAGGACAAGGTTATTTGGACAAAGCAGGCATCGCGTCTATTTTATTTTCGCCAATCAATGGCTAAAGATTATTTTTTTAAGCTATAAATGTTTTTTTCCCAAAGCGAATTCTCGACTTATTATTCTTACAAACTACCTTATTTATCATTAATTAATAATTAAAATAAAAATAATATAATTTCTATACATGTTCATCTCCACGCACTGCCACATACCCACCATTTCGCCTCATCGCGACATTATTGTTTCTCTCAACAAGTGGAACATCAAATAACCCCAACCAATCAACATTATGCAACATCCCACCACGCCCTTCCGTCCAAAAATCGACGCAATTATACCAACATCCGAAATCGAACGGATTGCTAGAGTTATAATGATTACCGTGCGCGCGATTTAAGCCACTACCACGCGGTGATCTCGACCCGAAAAATTTCAGGATTCCGTGATTATGCTGACGATGAAGACTATCATTACTGGTTCTTTCATATACATCGTTCAAAACACGCGCGTGATCACCAAATCCACCTTCTTCATTTCCTCGACCAGTCACATCATTACCGTCTCGATCACCCACTTGTGCAGCATCGCTAGCTCCAGGCCCAGCGGCTAAAGTAGCCATTATCTGTTCACGAACATTCGATCCTGTACGCTGCCCAAAATACGAATAACGATGGAAATTCGCCATCTCATTCGTCGTTTTTGCGGACGCAATTTGAATACTTTGCATAATTAGTAATCCGAAACTCCAAGAAAGTTGTATTGAAATCCATATTGTGAGAGATGTAGTCCAGGTGTCGTATTGAAAGAATCCACATAGTGTTGTGGTCAGTACGCACGGTTGCTGTGGAATTGGTTCATAGGCTGGTGATTCGATTAAAAGGTCTAATGATACAGGGAAAATAATAATGTTTAGCGATATATTAAAGCATTTTAGACAATCAAAAACATCCGTTTTATTATTGTGAACTAACATTGATAACTGAGATAAAGAAAGCTGCATATTGCTGTTATCATCATGATTAAAAATACTATAAAAGCACGATGATTCCTCACCCCAATACAATTAAATATCCAAGGACAATGGCTAAAGAATTTATATTAAGATAATCAGACACAAAATGTCTAATAAAAAAGGAGTGCAAATGAAAAATGCTTACTGGTCAAATCGCGCTACACATCTATCACAAAGTTTACAATGTTTCGAACGTAATGGTTTTTTTATCTATAACAAACATAAAAATTGAATTTTGCAATTTTTAGAATAGAAAATCGTCATTAATTCAATAAACAATAAGTCAGCATTCAGTTCTCAATTTGCTCACCAAACACGTGGTACACAAATGTCTCGTATCCAACATTTCCCGGTTAGCAAGTTCGATGACTAGCTAAAGATAAATATTTGTAACAGTATTATATAAATATTTTTATGAAAATTCATCAATTAAAAATTTAAACACTTTATTACCTGCTTTTGTTCTTCGTGAGATGTCAGTTTTGGGATAAACCCAGGATCAGCCAATACAGCTCGATAAAAGCAATACATGGCAAATATGTACGAGGAAACAAAAACTATATTTGTGATATACAAAAAGGATGTGGCTTTGAATTAATTATAGAAATTGGGTCAAGCATAATAAATATCATCTTAAATAGACGATATACAGAAATAAAAAGGATACGTATTAACACTTTTGTTAACCAAGTAACCCCAACCCAAAAAGCACTCGCTTGGAATAAACTACTGAAATACGGAGTTCTCATCATCGCATCCGGCGTTTGTGCTTTTATAAGTATTCGAAATATTGCCACATGACATCCAAAGAATTCAGCTATGGCAAGTGGTAATCCTATGAACCAAGGAAAATGACAAAGCGTTTGCAAGGTAATAAGAAGAATAAGAAAAGGAAGAATGTATATGACGGTGTGTGTAGTTCGCTAAGTATAATATAACACAAATTTTGGCAATTAATTAACAAAAATAAAATCAAGATTAAAACAAATTAAATATTGAAATTATAATAATTTAATTATCATCTTTATTCATAATATTCGAAATAATTTTTCAATTTAAATTTTTTGGTACCTGGTCAAATAAATATGGTTTTGTTCTGCCGTCCTTTTTCCTTCCGGTTTCTCTCAACGCCCGCTCCCACACTTTCATTGCTTTCGATTCTCGAGACATGTCAGCTGGTGTTTTCCCGTTTTCTTCTTTTGCGTTTATGTCTGCACCGGCTTCTATCAACTTTCTTAGACACATATTATTTCCTTTCACAACCGCCCAATGCAATGGAGTGAATTTTGCACTATCCCGCTTATCAACTGACGCACCAGATCGAAGTAATAAATCCACGGTCATTGGATCTCCCTGATATGCAGCCCACATTAATGGTGTATGTTGAAGTGAGTCAGGCGTATCAATGTCCATATCTTGAAATAATAAATATAATACAAGCATTGTGTTGGAAGAGTGTGTGGCGAGATGGAGGCCGTTGAAGCCTTGTGAATCACGGAGGTTTGGATTAGCACCATGGTTAATTAATAATGTCAAAATAGAAAGGTGACCACTCCTACAAGAATAGTTATTGTGATATGATAAGTAATTTAAATGTAAAAAAAATCGTGAATAATGTAATGTAAAAGTTCAATTCACCTTGAGGCCCAATGTAAGGGTGTTGCAACTAAATCACCACCGAATGCATCAACTTCTGCACCATGATCAATCAAATATTTCGCTACTAATACATGATTATTAATAGCTGCCCAATGTAAAGCTGTAACATCCAAAGCATCTCGATCTGTGGCCTTTGCCTGGCCGCTTTCAATTAAATGTTGTGTCGCATGTAAATTCCCATGTTGTGCCGCTTGATGAAGGGTAATTGCTATTTAATTGTTAATAGTCATAGGTTTATAATCAAAAAACATATTACACATATAATAAATATTTCAAAAATGAATAACAGCCAAATTATAACTTGTAAGAAACCAACATAATAGTATATATTTTTGCTTTAATAATCGCAAATTCAAAAACTATTTGTTTACGTTACAAAACAAAAGATTTCACCGAATGTATTCTCGTTTTCATGCTATTTTTACTTTGTTTCTTATAGAAGCCTACCAGCACTCGAATCTTCTTCCCGTGCGATAATATTGGCTATAGTTTCACTTTCCACATCTCTGTTACTGACCGAGACTGTGGGCTTAGCCGCCGATATAATTAAACCACCGGGCGCGTTAGTTGTTCCGTTCATCAATTTGTTTGAATCAAGTTTACGACACTTCGCTTGTCGCGACGAAAACTATATGATCATCTTATAACTCTACAAACCAATTGAATCATCGCTTTTCCTTGTAAATCTTTGATGACAAATTTTATCCGGATTAGTCAAATAGGTACAGTTATTGTTAGATAAAAATACCCCTTTTTTCAGTATCTACCGCTACTTTTTTCTCCAAAAAATAATACCCAGGTATTTTAATAGATTTATTATTTTTCAATATTTGGATACGACGAATTTCGACAAAAATGTGTATTGGTATTGTTTGGATGATTTATGAATTTTGATATTACACCTGTTCTACAAACTGTCAAAGTAGTTCGAAAAGCGGTGAGATAATTCAGAAGTTAGCTACTGAGAGTTTTTTTGCATTCGTGACAATTCCATATAACGGATATAAGCCCACTTTCTTGCAAGATGTTTCAAGCCTCCAGCAGGGCAAGAGAAAGACACAGCACCGTGATTTAGATGGCCAGGATGAGTTATGTGTGATTGTGAACTGCATGGTGCTTGAAAGTATCTGATAGAGTAACCATATCAAAAGTGAACAAACACTTAAATCTGGTTGGCAAAGCATTACGCAGGAAACATAACAAATTAATTGTAATTGCAAAAAAGTCCAAGATTATTAACGTATGTTCTCATTCAAAGCACAAGACTTATAGCTTTACAACATGACCAGGAAATGAAGGAACGAAGTTCAAGAGTGTTCGAATGATCAAGTATTTCAAGTTATCACAAATGGTAGTAATGTGGATTATATAGTATTTAAGTATGGTATGATTAAGTATGTTAGTATGGTATGAATAAATAAAAATAATACCATACTAATCGCTTACGGAAAAATTGACAATTTCAAAAAATAATTAAAGCTGGGGAAAAATTAGCTAATCTGAGTTTTTTAGTATTTTTTGACGAAAAACTCGCTAAATAATTGTCAATTTGGGATTAGTATTCCCCAAAAAGGCATATTAATATAATATATATAAAATTAGTATGATATGATTTTCTCAAATTATATCATACTAAAATAACACTAATACATCCATGTAATCTGGTTTAAAGTGATATCTATTTGAATAATAAATCATAGAATAACATACAGAGAGCTAAAAATGCAAAAAATATGATATGTCACTATTATATAATTTGCTTCAAATATTAATTATTTTACTTTATTTCATTATTCTAAACATTACTTATAAATATTGCTTGATTTTCACATAATTAAATATTTATTTTTTTGTGTTATGAAAACAATAATGATTAAATAGTAAAAGTTGACAATTAATCATTATCAAAATTTGAAATATAAAGATATTTCTCAATTTGAACAAAGATATTTACTTTCACTTATCAAGAACTAGAAAAACTAAATTATTTATTATATTGCTAACAGTAAGTAATGTTATTGAAAATATAACAAAAAAGCATTAAAAAATATATATAATAACAATTGTAAAATTTGATAATAAACATATATTTGTATGGAAATATATAACTTGAAATGATATTAGAAACTTTATAAAATTAATAACAACTTGCTAAATTTTATCAACTTCTTTTAAATCTTATAAAAATAATCAGCTATTATAATTTTAATAAGTTTAATATCATGTTTCAACACAATATTGATTCCAAATCTAAAATATTAATTATTCAAGTTCAGTTTGAGCAAAATAAAATAGCTATATTAAAGTTAATATATCTAATTATTGAAATTAAATCATATAAAAAATCTATAAAAACAAATAAATAGATAATTGACATGTTTTCAAAAAAATATTAATAATAAAAAATATAAATATCTCAAAAAAATATGGATGTAAGAGAATTTAAGTGAAAAAATATCAAGATTTTATTGAAACTATATCAGAAAAAACTAAATAATATAATTTATTTATTTATTAATTAACAAGTTATAAATAATAGTTATTTTTTTTTAATTTAACTTTAGAGATCAAATAGATAAATAATTAATATATTTTCAAATAAATTTTAGTAATAAGAAAAATGAAAATATTTCAATATAAATAAAGAGATTAAAATAGAAAAATAACAAAATTTTATTAAAACTATGTTAGAGAAACTAAATTATATAATTTGTGCTAAAAATATTATTCATTATTTGGTGAAAATACAAAATATATTTTCAAAGAAATCAAATTGAATATAAAATATTGTATATTATTATAATATGAATATTTAATTCTTATTTTATTAATTAATTCATATTATAATTTAATTGAATAAGATTTTGTTATATTTTATTGATTAAAATTTAATTAAATAATTAATTAGTACTTTATTATTTGTATTAACAATATTAATATCCGTGTTAATGTTAATAATACTTGTATTAATACTAATAATATTTGTGTAAATATCAAGTAATATTATTAATATTTGTAATTAATTAATTTATAAAGTTAATATTATTAATAAAATTAATTTATAAAATTAATAATATTAACAAAATCAATCTACAAATTATTAATATAAGTATTATAATTAATTATTATAAATATAACATGTATTTTAGATAGAATTAAATAGATTTCTAAGCTTTTAGATTTTTTAGTTTTAGATTTTTTAATAAAAAATTTTTGAGCTTTTAGCTTTTTCTACTTTATTAAAAAACTTTAAGTCTTCTCATATAAAGATTTTTATTTGAGAATTCTTATCATATATTTTTTATTTCAATTTTTTATTTTGAATTTTTGTTTTAATAGCTAATCTTTGTATTAATATGTATTAATTATATTGATAACTGTATTATAATCTTTGAATTAGCATGTAATTAATCATATTATAATGTTGTTATAATTTCTAGCTTAATAAAATAATTAAGTATATTATTAATAAATTAAGAAATTTTGTTTTTTAGATTTAAATAAAATTTGTTTACTAATATTTTTGGAGTTTTTATAACTCAAGTAAGTTTGTTATTTTGAGTAATATATTTTATTTATTGATAGATAATATTTATATCATATTTAGTTTATTAGTAATATTAATAAGTCTAATTTCTATTTTTTTTTAAAATTAATTTTTGTTATATTATATTGAATAATTTTTAAAGATATTTTAAAAAATTTACAAGTTATTTTACTAAGCAAAATACTCAACAAAGAGAAAAAAAATAATTAAAAATTTATTTTTTGGAATTAATAAATTTTATATTATTATATTTAAAATGAGAATCAAAAATTACTTTTGAAAAATCTCTTTTTATTTTTATTTCTGTTATTAATATAAATTTTTAAATAAGTATAAAAATATAATTAATATTAACTATTAACAAAAAAATAATTATTTATTATTTGTTTACTCACTTATATTTATGATAAATAATAAGAAAATTTTAATTAATAATTATTTGAATAATTATCTATTCACTTTTTATTATATTTTTTTATATAAAATATTTATTTTATTTTATTATTCTATAATTTATTTTTTTATTAAATTTTATCATTATCCTTTTATTATTATTATTCTTTTTAATGAATACAAAATTTTAAGTAAATATAAACTGTTATTATAATCAATTTGTCATTAAGATATTGATTTAATATTATTTGAATTTTGTAATAAATATTCTTCATTATATATATAATTTAAAATTTTTTATTCTCAATTTTATTTTCATAAAAGAAATTAGAATACTATATAAATTGGTTACTTGTAAAATATTTCACATATTGTTATAATTTTATTAGAGAATTTTTATTATAATATTTATATATAAACTAAGAGCTTATTCTTATTATTTACTTTTGAATTTATTAATTTTTAAATCAATAATAATTATTATAATTGATTAAAATTATATAACTAAGTAATAAAATTATTTAGTATTTTATAATAAGTATAAAAAATTAAAATCCAATATATATTTAATTTATATTTTTATATTTTTAAACTTTTATATTTTTATATTTATAATATTGCTACTGTTTAATTATTATATATGAGAATATTTAGAAATAACTAATAGTAACTATATTTATAGTAGAATTTAAATAAGAAAAATATAATAAATAATTATTAATTATTAATTATTAATAATAAGTTAATAAGAATATAAATATAAAATATATTTAAATAATAATAAAATAATATTAAAACTAAATATTGTCATCAATTTAATATCGATAATAATTTAATATAAGAATACGTAAACAAAAGACACAGTTATGATAAACATAATGATATTTGAATTATGTAGTTAGTGTGATAATATTCTACTTCTTTCTATTTCTTTCTATTTTCTTCTTTTTCTTTCTCGTATCACTTATCTTTTTATATTTATCTTATTGCTATCTTTATTTGAATATATTAATCACATCATTTTCTTGGCAAATTTTATCATTTTCTATATTAGTTTAGCTTTTATTTTCTATTTTTGCTATTGGTACTTAGATGTAGAACAAGATTATTAATTATA